AATGCCAAACTCGAAATCAAAAATGTTCTTAAATGTAAACATCTACTAAGTTGTAACGATTAATTGGTTAACTGATTCATTAATTGTGTTCTGCTTTAAAGTACTCAAATTAATTCCACTTCTGTATATATGCAAACTACTAATTATAATATTTAAAACTTTGAAGTTGGATATGAGTAATGTCTTTGAAACGAGTTCTAGTAACTCGTTTGATCTGACCAATATACTTTTTGTCACTCTCACAGCTTATTACATATATCCCTAAATTTTCAGTTTACATCAGGGTTTTTTTAGAGTTATCCATCTTGTTTTAGTGAACAAGCAGTTTTGAAAGCTACACTTTTGTGTTTTTGAAAATCCATCCAAAACTTTAGTGTATCTTGGTACAATAATCTTCGAATTTCCTAACTTCTTCTCAACATAGTGTTTGTTCCAAATATTCATAAAACCAGATTAAGTGTATGGCTTGTTGATGAACTTAGAGAATGTCTTTAGGCCACATCATTATTGTTAGTTCATCATCATTTTTCACAAATACTTCTGGTATTATTCATGAGGAACAAGAAGCAGATTACAATAAGGAATTAACTTTCAGATCTAGGTAGAGTTGGTTACATTACTCTTCGTCGTCGTAATCTCATCAATCGAGGTGACTCATCAAGTAAATCAAATATTGTATCCAAAATAAAATCATGGGATTATTTGCATACCTTTCACGAGTTTATCATTTTTAAATATAAATAAGTATTTGGAGTCGAATCAATATATTACTCATAAGAACTCTTCTTCTTTATTTGTTTAGGATCAAATTAATATTTTTGAGTAACATATCACATATAGATAAATTCAAGACGAAAAGGTCAGATCAGAAATGTTTGTTCATTTTTGGTTTTGTTAGTATATGTTACAGGGATGATATAAGGGGGGCCCTGTCACAGGGTTATGCCCCTTCAGGGTTGATGAAAAGGTCAAAGGTAACACACGTATTCACACGTTTTTCGTTCATAATTTGAAAATGTAATAACGAGTAATACAAAAATTTACTCACAAAGCTCATTTTGTTTTATTCAATTGCCATTTAGCACAGATTTTTTTTTTGGCTGGATTTATTAAAATTTCATATCAGAACATACCGAGTTAGGACTGTTATTTGTGTAATGATCACAAACAATTTTTTTTTGAAAAAATTAATAAACATAATTTATACTCATGTCATTTTTTATCTAAATACCGATATAATGATACTTTAGTTACAAAAAATTATAAAAAAATGTAAAAACATAATTTATAGTGTCCTTCCTTTTTTTCATCTTTAACTAAATAAAGATATACTTACCCCCGTATTGACAATAGTGTTATTATTACAAGTTAGGACTTCCATTCTTTGAAATGGACTGTAGATACTAACAATAATTGACAGTGAAGTGAAGTAACTTGGTTCAGAAGCTTTTTATTAATTTTTTTGGAATTTTTCCATCATACATCTTTTATTTCACTTTTTATTGACATTAACATTCCACTTATTATTCAACCATTAACAGTTCTTTCTTATTTCAGGTCACAATAATTTTTTTTTTAGTGTTATAGTATTTTTTTCCAGTGTTTTAACATTTTTTTTTATCAGTATTGGTTAATTTTTTCATTTCTTCGATATTACTTTTGTTTTAACTAACTCCTGAACCGATTATTATTATTCTTCTTTAAATCATTTTCAATGATTTGAACGTTCAATTCATTTCTTATTTTCTTCCATAGATTTTGAAACAACAACATTTTAGACAATATAAGTCCGAACTTGTAACATTCACCAAGGAACATAGTCAACCACTTTTAATCAAAAAAAATTATTTCACGATTTAGATAAAAAATGGGAAATCTTTTTGACAACCATATTTCATTGCTAATTTATCAAAAAATATTTTGTCAATTGTTATCAAACTGCCATGCCGGGCACAGCTTCAGAGCCCAATTTTTCTGTTCAGTGAATATCTGTCAACTACAATTTAACATTTAAATATTGCCTGGTAGAGGGATAAGGAATCCATGTCATTATTCAGAGTACAGTTTCAACTGAGTTCAAAAAATGCGAGGGCTCTGTCTTCCTCCGCAGTGATAGTTTTCACCAAGCTTAACAAGAAAAGCCAATTACAGATATTATTTAAAAATATCGAACTGTGTTTTCGATATTTGAAAAGATATTTCGACTTCAACTAACTTGGTAGTAATTCGTACCAGCAATAACCATAGTTGGCAAAGCATATAAAACATTTGTCCTGACTCGAATTGTTCGAATGAATTCTGATATGTAATATTTCATGTGATTATACGTTGGGTTGTGTTAATGTTTGGGTCATCAGCACACGCCGTGTAAGGCCAGCCAGGAAACAGGTAAAACGAAAAAAATTAATATCCAATATCCTCTTCCAACTCCAATCCTTGTGCTTCACTATCTAATACTACCGTACACTCTGTCATTGCCACATCTGAACTCTCTTTTAGATAGAAATAGGGTTTTCAGGCACAGTACAAGTTTAATTAAATTTTTATTTCAATAAGTGAGTCTGTTCCAGTCCCAATATGCAACTAAGTCAAAAAATACAGATTCGAAATAAATAGGTAATGCATAATTGTTATACAGTTTTCAATAGATAAAATAAAAAAGTTGACGGCAGTCACACACTATTGAAAGTTGTTACTACAATTGAAGTATCGAACTAACAAAATGTACCCACAGAACGTGAAACTTCATATCTAAGAACAGAAAAAACAATTTCAACCACATTTTACTCATATAGTGGATGTTGTATGTCTAATATTATTTTCATAAATATTAAGTTTTTTATCGATTTTTTTTTCCTTGAATATAAATATTCATTGTATCAATAATATTATCGTACCTACTGGCTCAAATCAAAGAAGTATATCTAAAGCAACAATTAAACTTATTTTTTGTAGTAATGTGTATATATTCAAATCGTCGTTAGGGGGTATCATGAAAGCTAGCAAAATAATTCTGCAGTTTTGTGTGTATTGTTTGAACCATTCACATTGAGAATCTCAGGGACTGGAATAGGCTCATTCAAGTCATTTCGTTTGCACTCAAAACGTAGCACAAATATAACCAACGAAAATGATAACAGGAAATCAGTTTCTGTTTTTCACATGACCTGTTGCAAACGAAAAGACCATCAACTTCCATTGTGTCAAAAAAATGTTATGTTAAGGTACATATTATGAAAACGTTGGAATGATTGAAACAATATTTTTGAGTAGTGTATTAATTACTAACACTAATTTCAATTTAAGAAGTAATATTTTGTTATGTTTTAAACTGTCCCCTAGTATCTTTCCCCACGTATCAGAACTAGAGCACCTAACTCTCTACGCAAATTTCACTAACCAAATTAGCATCGTCAGTAGATGATTTCTTTTATCTCCTGGTGATGCTAACTCGGTTAGCAAAACGCGCATCGAAAACAAATGCTCTATTTCTTGAGGGTGGGAAAAGTAATTACGTTATGTTCATTTTTCCCCAGACGTTCCAATTCTGTCATATAATGTAATGATTCACATTTACGAAGATCTCGCTGTTTTATGATCAAATTTGTATTTATCAATTCATATATTAATCAATGTTCTTTGTTGTCTAAAAGATGAAATCTTGTTGAAGAAAGGGTTGAAAATGAGTATCGTCATTTTGATGTTTTCTCAATTGTCGACATTGATTTTTGGGAAAGAAAGTTTTTGGCCTTCTACTTCTCAACCTTGATACAAAAGATGTGGGAATCTTCCAAAGAAAGGAAGGAGTCAATCAATTCCAATATTAAACTCTTTACAAAGATGTGTAGATCATGTAAAGAAGTAACTTTCAGACACAAACTGAAAGAAAAATCCCTTTTGAAACAGCTGTTTTCATATAAACATTGAATTGCATGAAACAAATACTTTTATATGAACGCTGAATTATACGAAAAACACTTTTCTCCGTTCCGTTTGTATTCCAAGTATTCTTAATGGGATCGAATCAGATATCATTCTCAGGATTCCTACACAATATAATTACTGAAAGAAGTAAAATTTCACTTACATAACACTGTCATCCTCACTGCTAGACATCCGAGGTCTCGCCGTAAGACACTTTAAACCTTTTTGTCACGGAATGGGTTGAATCCACCCATGTCATCGATGACAATACGTAAAAAACATTCATTCGCTTATGTGATTGAATCCCAGCCATAGGAATCTTGTTTAAATTGAAAGGGTATATTTTTGGGATAGATTAATTTTTGGCAAACTTTTTGGCCTTCTACTTCTCCACCTTAAAACAAAAAATGTGGGAATCTTCCAAAGAAAGGAAGAAAGTAATCAATTTCAAAAGTAACTATACATTCATTTTGTTCTTCATTTAATTAATCAACAAATTATCGGTAGAAGAGTCATGTATATAACAAAACTATTTCTTCAGTTCAATTCCAGTAAATAAAAATAAGGTTGGTATAATTATTTCTGAGTGGAACTAAACATATGGGGCTGAGATGTTATGCCTGGTAACTTTTGGGATGATACTGAACTTAGTCCAAATATTTTAATAAAATGCATCTTATAGAGTTTTGAAAGTAATGTTTTATTTATACCAGTAACACAAAATCTGATTAGAATTTCATATTGATATATCTGAGTACATTGATTTCAACGTTAAAAAATGAATAAAACCTCAAAAAAGTAGGAATTCGGTGACTACTGGTTATGCGTCTAGCCAACCAAATATAGTGAATTGGAATCTCAAAAAATTTTTAATTATGAAGTTTTATAAAAACAAAATAACTAAAAATTTTAGATTACTTGAATATTGCATATTCGTTTTTAGAGATTGTTGACAATCTCCCCAAATGTTCAATATTTGATTAAATAAGATGTACCATAACTAAACATAATGTTATATTTTTTGTAAAGAACACATTTCTGGAAACTCAAATTGTATTTCTCTATTTTGATTTTAGGATGTGGCATTGAGTAAGCTGGGAGGATCTCTAGGTTTCAGTATTATTGGAGGAACAGATCATTCCAGTATTCCATTTGGAGCAAAAGAACCAGGGATTTTTATATCACATGTAAGTAGTCTTTTTATTCTCAAATCCCCCGTAATCAATTAATTATAGGAACATGCATCGCATAAAATTAAATAACAATATATTATATGTATTTTTGACCTTTTTATAACAGCCAGTAATCATTATGTGATTGTATATGGTATTCATGCAGGTATGAAAGCGTGTTCGTATGAAATATTATTTTTCTTAACTACTAACGTATTATTACGTTTTGGATCCTTTTATCTACACTATTTATGAAGAGTAAATTAATTTTCTATAAATGAAAGATAAGTGTCACAAATCGTAGTTGCTAAAAAATAATTCATAGATTTTTAGCCAGTTCTTTCATAAAATAAGGTTAATTTATAAATTCAAGAGTTGGTCCAGCACATCTCTCGACACAACAAGTTGAAGTACTTCCGATTCACCTACTTGCGATTCAACATATTATCACGAAGAAATATGGAATATACTAATGTGCCTAGTTAGCCTTGGCAAGTACAAGTCAAACTCTGTCTGATAAATCTGTAATGTAAACTTCAGATTACTATACGAGTATTTCTCTCTGAATCCGGTCTTCCTGAGAAAATTCATCCTTTTTTGATGATTGCAGGATTTGCATAAGTTCTTTCCATTCGACATTATCAATATTAAAAAAGATAGATTTTGCTTTCCATTGGTCATTCGTGGACTTCGTTGATCTATACCTTCTCTCTGATGTTGTCCAGTTTTGGTTATATGGGAAAATTAAATGAGTAGCCGAAACGCCGCGATTCATAATATTCGTTTTATAAAAAATCCTTGCGAAAAAGAAATATGATTTGAATCAGAGAGAACGCGGTATGCGTATTTGCGTTTTACATCGTTTTAACCATACTCTATCTATACCATTAAAATATAGTGAGTGAAAAGGCATGATTTCCGGAAGTTTGGGTAAGTCGAATTTATTGCCATGCTTTTCCATTTCTAACCTATTCCACAGGAAAGAGAAAACGGTATCGAATAATTTTTGATCACTATCGAGCGCGGATAGAATTTGAGATTGTGTACGAGGCAACGAGTTTTATGAATACATTGCTTTTTACTTTTCACACTCCACAATATGAAAAAAATTAAATTAGTTTCAGAAAAGATCAACAAAAAATCTGATTCTTCTACAAAAAAGACTTTCGTTCACTACTTTCAAGAGATTTTGAAGTCAGCATTTTAACGTTGACTACTTATGCGTTTGAAAACATATATTCGTATGAAAACTTGTTCTATGGAAAGGGTCCTTTTTCCGGCGGTTCGCTTGCAATAGTGATTAACTACGATTTGAGATAGGAATTTCTGTTAGACTTGTTCTAGGTAAACATGCTTTTTTAGTTAAAATGAAAATGAGTGGAACTGTGACAGAATGTCAACTTAAGGTCTTGATTGCGAAAAAGAAAACTCTTTTTCCATCTTACAAAATCTCGTGGATTTATCGAAATATTACTATTTTTCAATTGATTGATAAAATATAATGTCATATCCAATATGTTTCCAAAAAATTACAAGAACGAGCAGTAAATACATTAAGAAATTCGAGTCAAACTTTAGAGTTTTCTAGTGGAACTAGATGTAGCCTCCCAAGACTTCCCGATTATGAAATTCCTGAATTTTTAGGAATTCTTGAGATATTCATGAAAGGGGAAAAATTAATTGTTTATTCAATATTCAATATTACAAAATTACAAAAATAATTACAAATGTAGACAAGGTAGAGTGAATTAAGAGCGTTGCATTGGTTTGGTATGGGCTTACCATATTTTCTCAAAGTTAAATTGGGCACTGTGAAACTATTTGAGATGTCGTCATGTGGTTCGGATTTTTCAATATATATTTTATTAGTTTAGTTTTGGAACTGTTCTACGCCGGGGGTTCAGTTTTACCTTTTATTTATTTATCTCTTAATCATCGAGTTCGGGACTGTCCATATGAACATAGGTGCGAAGTGTTCGAAAAAACATACCGTACAATTGCATACGGGTAAACCAAGTTCAGGGGATCATTATATTTAGAAAAGAGTGATACCAGTTAAATCATAAATGAATTATTAGATTATTATTTGATTTTTCAATATTTTTTAACTTGAACTTTCTCTTGATATAAATTATATAGCTAAATGAAACTATAAACATGGATTCTACTTACTCAACAGTAGATTGATGTTAAAACTAGTAAAATGAATGAAAACGATACATGAAATGACAGAAATTCACTGATTGCACTAGTTTGATAATATTTTGAATCAATCGGATTTATAATAAGTACTGAGCAAATCAGCATCAATCACTACCTTTTTCTTCTCATTTCTATAATTTGAATAAATATGTATGACTAAAATTTTTTAAATCGAATTTTTTATTTATTGAATTTGTTTCCCTGTTCATATGAACCATTTCAAACCAAAACCTTTCAGCGACATTGTGCCTCCCCCCCTATGCCCCCTCCCGGGTTAAGTGCCATGAGTTGAGATCTTTTCCACACGGGTACTGTGTGCAGAACACCTAACCTAACCTAATTGAATTTTGCATGGGGTCCCCAAAAACTAACCGGAGATTATTGTTTTAAAAAAATAGATCGCGGTCGAGTGTTTTTCGTTGAATCTGAAAAGGAAGTGTTTGTTATCTGTTAGAATTATTTTTATACTTACCGGAGCCGCCTGACAGCGACTCTCGGAGGTGGTCGTTGGTTCTGCCTGGTTGGCCTTCTAGTCTTGTCTCTCTCTCGGAATCTGGGGTCATCCCTGTTCAGTGCATTGTGTAGATCGCTTAGCGCTGGATTGTCGTGCGCTCGGATTCTGTCAAACGCGTCTTCTGCGTGTTGTCTCATATACATTGTGTCTTGGGAAACCTGCAAAATTATATAGTCGCATCAAAACTCAATGAAACATATGCTTAATTGTATATCACTACGGAGTATGATACTTATACTTGACTTTTGACATTCAATTAAAATATTTTGTTAATATACCTAATGCATACAAATAAAACTTATTCCTGTATTGAAGTTTTTTGTTCTGGAGGTTATACAATTATATCTCCTTAATTCTGTTGAGTTTTTTTGCACATTACAATTTGAAATCTTCAATTATAACTTATACTACTCTTATAAATTATAGCAGTTTTGCAGATTGAATTTCAATTTGTACAATAATTCGATGCAACATATTATTTTGTAATATGTTATAAGGTTTTGTTTTAATAATATGAGCTAGAAATCGCTTGAAAAAAATTGATCCAGATAGGAATGAATCGATCAAATTACGTAGGTGGTAAACCATCGATTACAAACATGCTGTGTAGTGAACTATTTTTATCCTGTATTTTTATGTATCCGTAACTACCTTACAAAGTTTCAGTCTTGTAATTATAATATATCAACACAATGTGCATTCACTTGTTTTAAAAATTAATGATAAAATTTCACTTTTTTCATTTGCTTTGTGAAGACGTTTAATAAATGAAATTTTAGCTTTGTGTACGAATTGCTGTAAAATTTCTGTCCTTGTGTTCTGTACTACTGCTAAGTTTGGCGGGGATCAACGGAGTATAACGGATGTTTCACATCGATACACCTGATGTAAACAACTTGAAATTTTAATGAAAAAATAGAGCAGATAATATGATAAGCAGTGGAAAGTAGTCGAATACATCCGTTTATATTGCATTTGAATTTCATTAGTTTGTAAATATTTTGGAAGCATACAACAGAAAGTTGTGCAACGTTACAATCTTATCATCCAGAAATCTGAAAATGTATTCTAATTTCACATTACTTTCAGTTGGTTTGACAATGTGTTTGAAAAATTGAAAAATGAATGAGATTTTTGTAAATATTTAAAATCATATAAACATCCACTCCTCTATAAAATAAGCACTTTTCCCACCCACCAGATATGCAATACTCTTCTCGACTAGCGTTTCGCCAACCAAGTTGGCGTCTTCAGGAGATGAAGAAAACACCTGCCGTGAGGTGCCCGAGACCGTAATGCACCTGCTCAGCATGTTCAGTATATGCAGTCTCAGCCTGTATCAATCGACATAACGCGGCTCTAAGATCGCTTTATTATCATCTTTGGCACTCGTACGGTATTGACTAGACACCGGTGTTCCCCTACGCTCCGGGGAATATTGAATACGTTGTGGGGAATGAGAAGTGCCAAATTTATTGGAACTACTCGTTCCTCACGCTTAGGATCATACAAGCTAATAAGCTTGATATAGTCCTACACCACCAGAGCAATACGATATTTGTCATGCAGTTTTCAGCTCCTGACGAGAGGAATATCGCCCGAAAAGAATATTTTTAAGTACACACATACATTTTACACATTTGTTTACACACCTAGACAACCAGTACACATAATATACAGGGTGGTTATCAAACATGCGGCATAATTTAGGGAACTATTCCTTGGACTCTTCTAAGGATATTTTGTCCTTTGATGATTTTTGATAGCGAGCGAAGAAGAATTTCGACAATAACAATTTATTACTAAAAATTACATGATGTTTCTTGATCTACAAGAACTATTGAAAATGACTACCCCTGCTCTAATGCAAGAATCCAATCTTCTCCTCATCGACTCTCGAACTCTTTATACTTTGAAAGGTTTTTCTATTAGGCAAATTGCGATTAGGAAATCGTTCACTGTACAACCGCCTAGCTTCCAATGAATTGCCATCAGCAAGTACATACATGAAATGCATGTCAGCCATCTCTGCATTACTATAGTATTCATGATAGAGGACTTCACTAACAAGACTTTAAATATTGAACACAGAACTCGTCAAATAAACAAAGTCAATCAGTTTCAACCTATTCGACACATACAAATGATCACTTACAAGACATACTTTTCAAATTGAATGTCTGCAGCCATTTTTAGTAATACTTGCCCCGTTCAAAAGTTAAGAGGGGGGATAATTAAGTCCGTACTGTATACATAACATATGATATAATACATTATCTTGTGTAAATCTAAAATATATTTTGAATAAATCGATAATGTTACTGATTCGGCTTCTAGGTGTTTCCAGAAAAAAAAATTCTATAGGTTTTTTTTTAATAAAAAGAGGCTATTATGATGGTAACTTTATTAGGAATAGAGTTGGCTGCTTTTAAAGCAATAAGTATCGGAAAATGATATTGTCCATAAGGTTTTGACAATATGAACATTTTTTCATCTTTTATATCATATTTATTTCATTCAACAATTCATACAACTGTGTATTCAAGAACATTAATTTCGCTAAAAAGCTGAATATATATGGTTTTTTGATAATATTAATCTCCAAAACCTTTTCTGAATAACTTCCAAATGTTTGAGAGTCCTTACAACTCCGCCACATCACGGAATTCTGTAACATAGATGGCTTTCGAACAAGGCATGATATAATGTCTTTGAAAGTTTATAATCCAATAATTTTAGATATTTGAAATGATGATGCCACCTCAGATGACAATCAATATAGATCCTCATAAATTGTTCCACAGGTTGGAAGTAGTAGGGTTTATTTTGACGGTTGACCTCTAGGTTTTGAAAAAAAACGGAATCTTTGATTTATTACGGGAAAATTGTATTCACTTACTTTACCAATTACTTACTCAACACTGTATAAATATGATAATGTTGGTGAAAATGAATATATTTATTTTAGATGGTTCCTGGTGGCACCGCCGCTAAATGTGGGAAGCTTAGGGTAGGCGACAGAATATTGAAGGTCAATGGAACTGACGTCACTCAAGCAACTCATCAAGAAGCTGTCATGGAATTACTGAGGCCTGGTGACCTAATTACACTTACCATAAGGCACGATCCTCTACCGGAAGGATATCAGGTTAGTCCTTAAGACAACAATAATAATTTCAATAATTTAATTTAAATAATAACTGGTGGTGATTCAAAGTTATGTTTTTCCAAGCAACTCATGGTTTCATATATAGACGCAAAAGTAAGTATTTGAAAATTCAATAATTAATATTTTAGAGTATCATTGTATTTGATTAATGGTTTAAGGAGAATATTTCCTAATGATATAGTGTTGTCAACGTATGAACTTTCATAAATGTTATCCAGGAAACCAATTTCAACAGAACTTTGATAGTGCTTCCTTTGTGCTATCATATTTATGAATAATTATTGTATCATTACTTTGTATATTTCAATTTGAAAATTAAATAAGAATTTTCATTATTGCCTAACCTTACAAAGAGTGATTTCAAGTACCACTGAGAGTATCACTATCATGTAACAAAAAAAAAGCTTACCTGTTAAGGTAAAAGTACATAATTATGGAGTATTGAGGCCTCTATCATATTTAGAAAGATTTGCATTTATACAAGAAAGTTGAGCGATATAGAATTTTTTTAGCAGATGAAGAGATCTTTAAAGATTGGAAATATATATAACTAAACTATATTGCATTCATTTTTTAAATGATCCATTATATTTTTTGGAACATCCTGTTTGTCCTTATTTGCGTAACAAAATTTCGCTTTGAACTTAATTATGTGAATGGTTGCGTCTAATTACAGGATATTCATAAATTGAGTACTTCTCTGTCTACCAACAAAAAAAGTAACTAGGTTTATGGGTAGAAAGTGACAAAACGAAATGTACTTTCAAAATAATATATTTATTCAACTTTTTTTTTCAAATAAAGAAGTTATTTCATTTATAATACTGAGGAATCACAGTAATTTCCCCTTAAAGAATCTTACAACTAAGTCAAAGTCAGGAAAAGAAAAGACACCTCTTTTGTTGACAGGAACAGGACAATCAATTTTCTTCACTACTTCTTCAGCATCATATACTAAAATATCATCCTTTTCAGGCCAACGCTAACTAACACATTCCTTGAAATGACCACTGATTGTCATCGTCTTCACCTCATATTTTGTATCACCTGTCCCACTATCAATTACTTTAAGTACTAGGCCGGGAAATTTCTCTCCCTCATCTGTTACTACCACATAATTTCCTAATTTAATTTTAGTTAATTGGGATACAAATCATTTCTGTTTTCATCTTGTACAGTTTTTTTAAGTGACTTTCACTTGTCATTTTTCTTATTCTCATTGAGCCTTTCTTCATTTTGTTTTCCTAACGGTATTTTTGCTTTCTTGGTTTTGTTTGTTTCTTTAGGTACTTTCTTAGCTCGCTCTTTCTTCCTTATTTCAGCTTTTCCTACCTTCTCCTTTTTCTCTTAATCTAAACGTCTCTGATATTCTATATATCCCTCAATAGTTGCTACAGTTACAATTACTCTTTTCTTCATATTTCCTATGGCCTTATTGGAAGTAGAAGTATCCGGTCAAAGCAAGACATTTTAAAATGGGGTTGGGAATTCTATTTTTTTACAATTATTGTCGGTTTGCGATATACAGTTTTTCCTCCTTTTCGGGCGGGAACAGTCTGACCTTTGGGGCAGAGGAAACAATTGAAACACACAATTGAAAATCCTCGAAGGATCCTCTAGTACTCCAAGGAGTCCATTTCTTGAAAAGTACTGTTTAACCCGTTCAAACCAAGCTCTTATTTTTTCTTCAGTAGCGCCAACGCGCGCTGTAGTCAATGTCAAACATACTCGTTCCCTGAGAATAGAATTTCTTCTAAGAAAACCTTCGTACCAGTGAGGATCTAGAAATACTTCTCTGAATTGATTTGGTCGGTCAAGTTCTGCCACCAGTTTAGACATAGAGTATATTAGTAAATCTTCAGTTACTGGGAAACTAATTTCAGGCATATAGAGGACCCATTGGGGAATTAGGGCTTCTTCATTTTGTGTGAGTACCGTTGGAGCTCCAGCTCCAACGGTTCTTATATTTTTCATTGGCCTTGGTATGTTACATGTTTTTGATGCTTTGTAGGCAGACATTTTTCCACCTTTTATTTCGTCCAAAGCTTTTTGAAGGTTTTCTGGAGTGTACTTTTTTGTACTGCTTTTTCATCAGAAAATTCACGGATTTGGGACAAAAGTTGAATATTCTATACATTTTTCTGTACAAGGTCTATCTCTGAGCAACCAAATAAAATATAAGAAATCGCTGAAAACAACTTTCATAATACAAAGGGAGAAACAAATGATGTGATGACTAACTTGTTTTTATGTATTTGTTATTTTATGGCAAAAATCAAAAACTTCCGTAATAACATACTATCCCGTAATAATGTACTTTTACCTTATTATGTTTTCTGGTTGTTAGAATGTCTGGGGTAATTTTTGATTTTACAAACTTCTGAGATTTGGAAAAGGCAATGACTCTAAAAATGACTCCATATATGGGATCGACAGAACTCAAATGATCAAAAATGATCAATATCAATGATAACGACTCTGACTTAAAGCAGAGTCTTTTTTTCCTATTATTTTCAAATAATTTAAAAATGATTCTTTCAGGAGCTCATGATTGAAAAGGGTGATTCAGAGAAATTGGGAATGCACATAAAGGGTGGCCTACAGGGCCAAAGGGGAAACCCGCTAGATAGATCTGACGAAGGAGTATTCATTTCTAAAATCAATTCGGTTGGTGCGGCTCGGAGAGATGGAAGATTAAAAGCTGGAATGAGGCTCTTGGAAGTAAATGGAAAATCACTTCTCGGTATGGCGTGTACTTGTAAATTCATAACATTTTTTAAAACATTCATAACCTAGGAGCTACTCATCAAGAGGCAGTAAACGCTCTGCGATCCTGTGGAAACATTATCCATATGGTAGTGTGCAAGGGCTATGATAGAAGTGACGTGGACAGGGCTGTTCAGGAAGGTCGTTTGGCAAGAGGGGGATCAACAATTAGCAGTAGATCTCAGAGTGTCAGTTCATTAGATGTCAACGAGGAGGATAGTCATCAGGTGTGATTTTTTTTTATAAACCCTTCAGATATTGATTTGGGTTTCATGAGTTATTTTATTCCGAATGTTATTGACTACAGATCATTCAGGAAAATGTTCAGTATATTCAAAAGTATAAACAAACATTTACTTCGATTTAGAGCACGATTTGTAATAATAGCTCTATGGAAATTTAAATTTATTGCAAAGTGTCAAAGGTCCGAAACAAATTGATGATTTGCATTACGTTTTATACATATTAGATATAATAAATGTGGATAAAATGTTAAATAACTTTGAACTTCAAAATAGATATTCGAAAATGAAATGTATGAATATTCAAATCAATTGATTTTTTTTCTTATTATTTTTTCATAAGAACAGCTTTTCTTTGGCATCTAACAGTAAAATTTCTGTCAAAAAGTCTTCAAAATCATTTTTTTTTATGTACAGCTTCAACTCGCCATTTAGATACAGTTTTAAAGAATGGCGGAGTAAATTACCAACACTACAGTTTTCAATTGATACTTAGAAAAAAAAATAATGTTTTTTTACATACAGGTGATAATTGACAGGTGAATGAGAAGTTCTGAACAGCGTTTTAGTGCAAAGCCAAGCTTTGACTTGAACCTCCAAAAATAATTCATTTTGTTCTCTTCGGCCAGTAAGAAAGAGATTGAAAAATCTGTACAAAAGTTTCATTATTATTATCTGTTCTGTTACTGTCTCAAACATTACATACCAACTGTTGTAGATATCCTTTCAAAGGATAAAAGAATATGTTGATTAAACTTTACTTCACAACAGAGGTTCTGTAAGAACCTCTATCTATATCCTACTATCTAACAATGACAAATAATAATAATTCATTGAATTATCTTTGGAAATTGGAGATGTGGTCAGTCGGTTATGTTGAATTCACAGCAGCACAAACTGAAAACAATTTTTTTTCAGTTGGAAAAAGAGGATTCTGAAAAAAGGTTGCAACCCATTTGCCAATCAGAGGAGGAAGAATTTTCAATCGTTGAAGCGAAACCACCATCACCTGCTGATAAGGTAAGTACTCATATTTATATAGGAGTAATACGTTTAGATATTCATCGTCATTTTAGGTGCTGGATGCCGTTAGAGCAGTAGAAACATTGGCCCAAGGTCCCTCAGAAAATTATTTTCCACCAAAGTCTCCAACTGGTGAACTCAAAACTACCACTATAGTGATGAGCAAACATACCTTAGCTCCTCAACCAAGCACGGTAAGTTTTATAAAATTTACTTGTTGAACTGGAAAGCTTTGTGTGCCTTTGTAATATTCATGTCAGCAAGTTCACTACAAACTTCATCAAGTTTAATACAGAACCATGCGATTTCAAACCGAGAATAGCATATTTTTGAAGCATTTCTCGTATTATGACAAATGAAAGTGAGGCTTCTTTCTGCCTTCCTCAACAAGTTTACTCGTCTTCGAAAAAACTAAAAATATTCTGAAAATATTTGAAAGTTTCTTCAAATATAGAGAGTCGTACTTCGTACTTACATAATTTACACGAATTGTAGGTCAATTTCAATTATAGTTTTAGTACCTGGGTTTTAGAAAATAGAATGAGTTGATCTCACAAAGCTTGTTGATAAATTAGTTAAGAGTAGTAAATGCTTATTATAAGTGCAAATGGGTAACAAAGTGCTGGAACAAAATTTTGTGATTTCGTGGTTTGAGCCAGTTCATAATCCTATTTCAACAGTTTCCCCAACAAAATGGACTAATGTTCTCTTCTTTCATAACGTGTTCAATACATTTTCGCCATTTTTCGGAATCGGCATATTTCTAAAACTTCTTAAAGAGTATTTTGACATCTTTTATTTTGAGTGTCGAGATTTTTCTTGCAATAAAATCCTTAACTTGAGCCCAAAAGTTCAATGGGATTAAGTTCGCAATGATAAGGCGGCATATGCAGAATAATAATATTTCGTTTGTGTATCATCTTGTCGACTACATATTCCGTGAAATGAGATTAATTTAAACATACTGACAATAGTTCTTTCTTAACCATACTTTTATCAAATGGTATGTTTTTTTGTTGAATATATTGAATGATATCTCTTTTTTCCATGCGTTATTTGGTATTCTTTCAACTTTTGAGGGATGGTAACTTGCATTATCCATCACAATCACAGAATAAGGTGAAATGAGGTCTAATATTTTTTCAAAGATATTTCTGTTCGAACATGTTTTCATGGTAATCGCCGGAATGCTTCGACTCAAAACATTAATCAACCTGCCCTAAACAAAATCATCAACACTTTCAATGTGGGTAATAATCAGTTGCTCTCCTTTTCCAGAAAACTTATTCAATCCGGTAGACCAGCCTTTGAAAATGCTTGATGTAAATTTATAATGTTTTTGTCTTGTCACATTTTTCGAACGGCAAGTTTTGTCCAGATAATAAATCTTTCTATTCTAATTGCAAGTTTGTAGTTTTCATCAACAGGTACAGTTTTTTTTTTATGAAGATGGTTTTGCAGATTCTTTATTGATTTAGTGTAATTTTTCTGATTGTGGTGAGTTGAATACCCATATATTTTTATGTAAATTTTTGATGAATATATTGAACAATCATGTAAGAGATACTTTCAAACTTGTTCTTTCAGTAAATATATGAATGATTTGAAATACAATACTCAAATAAATGAAAATAAATGGTTTTGTAATGAACTCTGTTGGAGTTGAATATATGCACGTATGTCATAGATGAAATTTTTTTGTTTATACAAAAGTCTAATTTTTCAAAAGTATTTGTGACCTTAATATTTCAAATTGCACTGGTGATTTGGTTGGAGAGGTCAGTAATAAAAATCAACTTCTGCCAATGTCGACATTTTGACCCATTATGGATTGTATCTTATTTCACAACCCAATTTTATAAACTGTCTTTGTATATAACAATATGCATGTACTCCCATATTGTGCCCTGAGGATGGATGACCTAATAAATGGTTGAAACGTCGACATTAGTGAAAAATTCATTTTCTGTCGTTTTTCTTTCTTTACTTCTTCCAACCAAAACACATGTTTCGTGTATTCCTTGAGGTAAGTATTTTTATGTAATGTACACTATTTTGTTTATAGCATCAAGTATAATCCCCTCGCCACAACTAATGGCTTAACTATTGAAAAGACATTGTACAAAGTCGGATTGATACTATAAAAAATCTAACATAAAATAATGAATGACTGTCGATATAAGCATGTATGATATCTTAAAAACAATTACATGTATATAATTTGGTTTAAGTAGATTTAGTATAATGCTTTGTTTTATCCTCTGTGGTATTAGTTGTACTGAAATTCTACTGAAATGGTAAATCAAAATTTGTAAGCTAATTGCAATGTCAAGTTTTCATACCCCGCTGTTGTTTTGATCATTTCTTCAATGATTAATGACTTTTGCAATGATTGCAAAATTCATTGAAAGTGGTAAAAATATCTCTTCTTGATTGTCTCATTTGTTTTTTTAAACATGAGATTGAGTATGGGGGACTATTCAAATTCATGGGTGTGCATGGGAATCGCGTAAATGGTAAAAAATTTTAAAAAAATAAACAAGTATTTCATAGTTCAATGAATCAACTGAAAATACTAACCCAGTTCTTCTGAAGCTAAGTAGTACAAAAATGAAGTCCAAATTTCAATTTGCTTCATATTAATGTACACAATAATGATGAATGTAATGTATCATGGACCACCCACGATGTCTAAATTTCAAATACAGCATGTATATTTTAGTCTGTTTTTCTTGGTTGAGAGCTATAGAGCACAAATATTACAATATTGGTTAATAATAATTCCTCAATTTCATCAGTGTACACACAATGAACACATTTCTACAGCTTCAATATTGTATCCATTCATCACATCATATTAATTTCATTACATATTATATTGTAATGAAAAATTATTATGATTATTCTTTAAAAAATATTTGAAAAAAATTAATGTACAATGAGTATATGAAATAATTTTCACATCAGTTTAAGATATAGCAGATATAGCAATCAGAATTCTTTGAATATATCTTTGAACATTGTCCAATCTGAAATATCATTTTTGTTAGGGTAAACAGATTCAATTCAAGTCTGAATTCAAACATTTTCTGTTAGAATTTTGATGTGTTCCAAATTCTGCCTGCATTTAGCTATTGTAAGAACTCTTGATGCCTCATCAGGGGAAAACCTGGGATGTGTGTTTTCTAAAACCTTTGTGTGAATATATTTCGTTTTTTAAATCCCGAGTTGAGATGAATACGATTTTTGAAATCATTGACAGACAATGATGTTTTTTTTGTTAGAAAATAGTTGAATTTTCTTATTAGGATTGTTTTCAAATATTGTGATATGATAAATTGGGAATTATAGTTGGCCTTTTTTTATTATTTGAAATATCTATATGGTATTCAGAGAGATGTGCCTCAAATTATACAGTAAAAGCCACACTCAAAAAATTTAGATGATGATCCACGCTTAGTGTTTCTTAAAAAATGAAGGACCCAAAAATCATATTGAAAATACCAACTCGTAAAAACCATTGATCCTATTCATTTTTTCTCAATCATAAAATCTAATTTTGAAACAGAAATTTGTCTTATTTAATTGAGGTAAAAGAATTGTTACAAAAACTTTTGTAAATTTTGGATTAGTACAATCAAATCTCTCATGTGGTCTTATATTGAAATCAAGCTCATAAATCTGCACAAAAAATTAATTCTCTGAATGACTTACATATCATAAATAGCAACATGTAATGAAAGTTTTGCCAATATGGGCATAATAACATTGCCACGTCTATGTATTTCTTGCAAGATTGCTTATATTGTGAATAAAATCGGTTACCTCACATGAAAGAAGGATATTCAGTATCATAACACTCGATGCGAATACAAAAATCAATCAACTTTTTTCAAAATTGTCAATAGAACAATCCACATTAATATATGGGGATAAAATTATATAACAAAATATGGAACTGGAAGAGTATATGAACATTATGTAAAGAATATATAAATAATAAACAATTTAGACATGATTTGAAGAAACTGTAAACTCAAAAAAGCTAATACTCAATACAAGAGTTTCTAAATGAGAAATTTAAAGCGACCAACAAATCAGAATTCTAATTATTGTGTTTCAAGTATAAATACTTTCAAGATTTCTCCAATGTCGGAACTATTTGTATGTTTTTATCTCTATATATTGATTTGAGAACTTGTGACTCTGACGTTTCGCATAATGTATGATGTCTTTAAGTATAACTATCATATTGTATGATATTCAAAATAAAATGAAATATATTATCATTCTATTATAATTCAAATATTTATTTGGATTATAATATATGCAATCTTCTTTTTTTACTCAAAAATTGTTGAAACGCGTTTTTATTTTCCTAAACTGTGAATTGATGGAAATATTCGTGATGAACATAAAGTAAAAACTAATATGAATAATATCTTCCTTTCAGTAAATGATATGAGGAACGAAAAAACAGGTCAATTATAGTCAAGGGGGACACTTTCAAAGGATATTTGTAGTCCTCGTGGTTCAACCCTCACGGAGGGGTAAATGTTACCCTTAGAATCTTATATGGGAAGGGGTATCAAGTGGCACATCATTTTGATTGGCGTTCAATTCTGCTTTCAATAATCCGTTCGATTTTATTTGTTGATAAGCAGTTTTCCAAAAATAGCATTCTAAACTTACACATGTAATTAGAATTTGCCTGTTCTGAAATGCATTATTGTATTGACTCCTTTTAATAAAAATGGTTAGAAGAGTAGGTGGCACCGTTCCAACCCTTGAATGACAGGTATTAAGCGAGGGATTTTTTATTTGTTGGTTATCGTTTTTACAAAACGAAATTTAATTTGCGAGAAAGACATTTCAAACATAAAATCTACTTACGCTTATCTTATAAACTGTTCAAAATGTTGTCCATTTTGCTCTAAACAGTTAGTCTGTTTAACATTACGAAAAACTTCACTAGGAATTGGCTGGCATGCCTGTAATTCGTCTTTAAAGTTGTTTTCTATAAACAACGGGTTCAAAATGCCCCCAAAGAAAGAAATCTAAGGGTGTTAAATTCTGTGATCTCGGAGGCCATTCAACTGCTCCCCTTTTGCCAACCTATTTATCCGGAAATCTCTCGTTTAACCACTATCGGACGGGAAGAAAATGAGGTGGAGCACAGTCCTGCTAGAAATGTAACAGATGCTCCTGCAAAAGTTCGTAACCTTCTGCATCCATTCGAGTTTCAAGCTCGTGAATTATAAGAGGATCAATAGTCTCTTCAAGCATTTCAAGGTACAGATTTCCAGTCAAGTTTTCTTCCAGAAATAATGGACCAATAATGGCATTTCCAAGAATATCAGCCCAAACCCGTATTTTCAATGCTTTTCTTACAGTCTCGCTCGACATTTAAATTCTGTCTTGACGAATGTAAATGTTTTTTACACTTTTATATACTTATTAAAATAATCACTAAACAGCCCAATAGGTAAAATTGTATGCACAATACTACCACATCATTCAAGTTTGCGAACCAATTTTTTTGCCTGAAAACAGAAACTTTTTACAGCAGAAGTAGCAAAAAAGGACGGCCATCTGTACACTTTCTGCGATAAGAATTGAAAATTCATCATTTACTAAACACAACTTTACTATCATCTACGTTTTACCATTATACTACTTTTTGATGCAAATTAACTGGAGCTAATTACTAATAAAGGGTTGGAACTGTACCACCTGATATTCTTATCAGTTCTGGTCAAACCATGCATCTCAGTATAGGCGTACTAATTTTTGTTTGAAGGTGGTTGACAATGTTTCATGGTGCATTTCATTAGTTCAGACTTCCATTGTCTAATATAATATAAATTGATTTGAAATCCCTGAAAGAATTTTTAAAAATATTAAATATTAGCTGAAAAATAACAATTATATTAAGCAAAAGAACTGAAATTACAATGAAATGAAATAAATGCAACGACCAGAAAAACAAAAAATTGAACTATTAACACGGGATGAAACTCAAAAAATTATTAACAAGAAATGAAAATTAAAAAATTCCAAATCAAGGTACTTCACTAATCTTTTCAGCTAATCTTTTTATTTTTTTACAGATTCTTTCAGGGATTTCAAATCAATTTATACCATATTAGACAATGGAAGTCCGAACTAATGAAATAATTACTTCTGTTAGTTTAGAACGCTATTTTTTGGAAAATGCTCATCAAAATGATGTGCCACTTGAACCCCCTTCCCATTTGAAATTCTAATGGTTCAATCTGCCCCTATTAGGGGGTTGAACCACGAGGGCAAAAATAGTCCTTGAAAGTGCCCCCCTTGATAAAAAAATTGACATGTTTTTTCGATCTCTCATATTGTGGAAGGAAGATATTAAGGGTAGGAAGTTTTCAAATTGACACCCTGTATAAATTTCATTGAATTTGCACTTCAGAATTTAGAATGAACTAAGTTAGGTTTTCAATGCCATATTAATGAGTCACAAAATACTTTACAGAGGAGACACTCATCCGGCGGCACTTTGATGTTGAGTGGTCAAGTGGCTGTGACCTACAATCTGTGTTGAGGTGTTTAATGACATTTATAGCGGTAAATTCAAATTATTTGGAACTTGTCAGGTAATAATTTGATTGTAGTTGAGTAATTATTACGATGTCATCTCGGCAGGCTGTTAGTTCAACATTTCAACAATTTCAACCAAACTAGCTCATTATTACCGTGTTCCAGTTCACTAACCACTCGAAAAAATTTTTAGGTTGACAGTAATCACCCTGAAATTCTCAAAAAGTCCATGGTTTTTGTTCCTTACTGAGTGTCTCTTTTGTATAAAGTACTATGTGACTGAGTCCCATTTTGTGCTTGCGACATTGAGAGACTCACCATGAACAGAGTTACCTGGCTTTTCTTTCAATGGTACAACTGAGACCACAGATGTCACTACTATATCATATTAGGTACCCCAAGTAATACTCAAATACTGTTTTTTTTATACTTTCATAAAGTGTGTCATAGAATTTATTATTGAAAATATTTTCAATGTGTTTCATCAATCTTCAGTTCTATTTTTTGTATGATACCCAAATATATTGGACATATAAGCATTTTTCCTTGAGAAAATTAATAAACATGGTCCAGTTAGTAATCACATCAATGGTATTATATGCAAGAGATGTTATTTGAATGTTATAGAATATTCATAAAAATGTCAAAATCATTTTTATTTTTTTTATGATAGTTCCAAAATGTTCTTTGTAGATTTTGTTTTCAATTATGGGTAAACTTGATGTATGATTCCAAATGATTTTAATTTGGAAAATACTTTAATCGAGCTTATAATGACAGGAAATGGAGTTTCAGAAGTGGGATTTTGGCATGTAGAAGTCCAAATATGCACCTTCTTCAATAAATCATTTAGTATTACCTGGGTACTCATCAACAATTAATGAAACGAAGTTGTGAGATTTCTCTTAATTTTTAGCATGTATCGCATGAAAAATTAGTATCTGTTTTACTGTTAAATACATTAGATCTCTTTTTACAGATGAATCGGCAAAGGAAACCATAACCTTTGCTGAGAAAGAGTGAAATATTACTTTGATAGAATTACACTGACTTAATGTGTGATTGCTGAAGAGTTGTGGGAAAAAATTAATTGTCCATGAAAATTAAAACTGGTGCTCCTAATTGTTAAGAAAACAAAATTTTAAATTATTATACCTAAGCTGTTATAATATTTGTTTGTGAATGTTGAGTGTATATTGTTGTTTATACATGTTTTGAGAGTTAGGTGATTAAGACATAAACAAATGACTTCAAAGTAACAAAATCCAACTAGTTGACCAACTTCAAAGATCTTAATCAAATTTATCTTTACCTGCAACTTCCACTGCAAGATATCTAGATGAAACCAGGGACCAAAAACAAAAAACTTTCTTAATACAATACCAGACAGCGCTGTTTTGACCTGTCCAAAGGTCACATCATTCAATGTTTTTGGGCTCTGGTTCCATATGTATATTTGGATTCATTCCATTTTTCTTGTCCTCATTTTCAACTTAGTATATTTATCCTAATTGAAGGCGATTGAAATTTCCTAGTAGTCTTCCCGGGTTTTGGATGATCTTGATGAGCATTGCCATGGAGCGTGTAATGTTAGGAGGATAACAGTGTTGAAAAATTCAATAAGAATACTAGAAATATGCATGAAATATCCTAATGTGTTTTGATCAATTATGCTCTGATAAATAACTAGTACATTTTATTTTTAATACTTTTTCGCTGTCAAATGTTATTTGAAGATTCTTCCAAATTTTTACATATAGAAAAATTCATTCTGTTTTTGATCTGTCTAAACTCCTAACTCTCGCGAATAATTTGAAATAATATTTTATGTATTATCTAGATGTTTCTACCATATCGTTAATATACACTAATTTGAATTAAGTGATTGAAAAATAAGGTCTGCCTATAACGTTTCATTTTTTTAAGACGATATTTCAGGTTATCCTTATTTTTGTATATTTTGATTACCTGTAATTATTATACCATGTGTAATAAATTCAAATTAAATTTTTTTTAATACATTAATTTTCACATTTCTTCTCGAATTTGATTTGGAACGTTAACGCTATCAAAATAAATATTATAAAAATTTTGTCTCATTTTTTGAATATTCAGGGATCAATTTTGAATAGTTGGGATGGTAGCCGGTTGGGTTGGCATTAGTGGTTTGTTCGGCTTATTCAAAGTCAGGTGAATCGGTAGTTCGATCCGCGTGGCCAGACGATCAATTTTCACTGCCTATCTTGCTAGGACTCGAACGTTAAAGGTAAGCCCTCGTTAATCCTAAGCTCGCACGAGTTTCTACTTCTGAGGGTTGTCGTTCGTAGGGTGCAGAAGAAATTTAACTTCAATAAATGCATCATTTCATTATTCCGAAAAAAGCATTTTCAATTCACGAAACAGCCGAATGGTCAGTATAGAAGAAGAAAGAAAGCGGACCCAAATAAATATGATAACCAACATCGGCAGTTATTTATTAAAAGCGATTTTAGTTTTTTAGTATTCTTAATTTCTTTTTCAGATACAAACCAAAATAAAGAATTTCTCTCCAACAACTATTTTGCCTGATGGATAATGAATTGTGCACAGAATCATTTTTTCTTATGTTATATACAAATTGAGAAAGACAATGATTTCTACATTTCAATATTATGTTAACAATATTTCTTGTACAAGTACTTGCAAATGGGTCCAACTGAAAATATTGACTACATATCGCAAAATTAGATGCAAATATACATTTAATACTATTTAATTTAAATTTTTTGCACGATATATTCACAGATTAAGTAGTACTAGTAATCTAAACATACAATTTTAAAATACATTATTATTGTGATGTATATAATATGTACCTATTTAATATACATAACCTCAGAAGGAAGGCAGTCTACAAAACAACCATTTAACAGTAAAAACTGATGTCCAAACTATAAACCTTAATTGAAAATCAAACCCATATTTCAATTCCGTTTAATGGCATGATAAATAATCTTCACTTGAAATGTTGAAATATATATGAAGTATGAACTCTTTATATTATCTGTTTCAGCAGTTATCACATTAAAAGAATGATCATTTTGATTTATATTAATTTCAGTATATAAAAACAATTCAGACTTGGGAAAGCAGGAATGCATTTGAATTCAGTTTATGTTTTACCTCATTTAAGGTTTATCTGTTTGATTGAATAGTATAATGAATCACTGTCTCAATTAATTTTATAAGATGATTATTCCTTTGACTAGTTATACATAAAATGTAACTTGTTTCACATTTTGTACAATGTTCCATAAGTGCAGCCACCAATTGTAACCAATCGAGATTTATATTTGATGTTATGAACTCCTAAAACTAATCAATTGATTCACTTTACTTTAAAATATCGTATGAAAATCTGAGTATTATAATAAGCTTTATGTGATATTCATTGGTAAATATATTTTGTTATAAAGGTGGCGTTACATCATTTGCCAAATGAACTGTCTTGTCTATGCATTTGCTAGAAGCTTTGGTGGTGGTTATTGGAATGTTTCAAATTTTCTAAAACATCATAATTTATAACAGGAAACTTTAGTGCATGCCGCAACACTACCAAAAACTGAAAAACCTAACTTCGAAGTGGATTCAGGAACTTTACAACATAGAATCGAAACCCAAGACACGAATGTGTTACATGACTCTCATATTAACAAAACTCCAGTGTCCATTCCTATTAATTCTCACGAGGAACATTCACAGAATAGTGATGAAAATATCTGGCATCATATCATTCCACCACCTCTAGTGTATTTAGAAACACTGGCAAAATCAGCTGTTACAAATACGTTCGAAATACAAAATTCTAATCTCACTACTGTCACCAATATAACATCCAACTATTACGATGATCATAACATTCCCACAAATTTAGCAGTATCAATTCAATCACCTGCTACAGCAAATAATGTTCTGATGAACAGATATTCTGTAACGTCTGTCCCCCAGTCACAAGTTGAAATCCACGTTTATAATAATTCATCCCAGAGTAAATCTCGTGAAAACCTTTTTAGTAGTAACAACTTTTCCACTCTAGTAGTTCCTCCTCCAATGTCAAACAACTCATCAACATCCTTTAATTCAGTTCTTCTAGAGGACTCGGATATTTTAGGTGTACCACCCCCTCCTCCATTGGCATTCGAGGATAATCCTGTAGAAAATGTTCCTTCACTTCCTCCTCCACCGTTACCAAAAACTCCGCCTCCCCATTTGGAAGAGATAGTGGATGAAATCGAACCCACATTTCTACAGTCCTCACAAATTGATAGCTTGCATGGAATTCCAGTCATTGGCATGTCGAGGGAGGGGAAGGAGTTATTCCGTTCTTCAAATTTGCTAGATATTCCGAATAAGAATAGTTCGCTCATGACACCCTCTTATATAGTCCCAGGAATGACAAAAGCAAGAGAAACTTCAGACAATTCTTCTTTCTCTCAAACATTTCCTGTATATTCTACTAGCCATGCTAGCCATGTTTCAGAAAATCCACCTTTCTCCCCTACTCGACTTGAGATCAGGCGTCCACAATTACCTCCACCCCCTGTTCCTGATAAGAATCAAATTAAGAAAATTCCTCCTCCAGTTCCTGCTAAAACTTCAAAACTTAGATCTTTTCGTAGTGAGGAAAAATTGTTAGATCATGATCATTTCGGTGATCTCAAAAGATTTAGTATTGCCTCACCACCTCCTAGACCTATTTCTCTAATATTTTCTAATAAGCAACAGCTTGGATTCAGTAGTGGAAACTTGGGAAAGTGTGGTACTTTGGAAAAGGTAATTCTTACTGGTATTTTTTATTGCAATATTGGAATTAATGAAATGAAAAATTATACTGAAATGGATAGAATCAAATATATATCTAATATTGATGAAATTATAGTTCATTACTATTATTTCACTTGAGTATTTGACTTCTGTCTATTTTATTGGTATTAATACTATATATAATTTAGGATAGATTGTAGACATAGATTTTATTTAGTATTTATCTCCAATATTTCCTAAAATTAACATTATTTAGTGAAACATCATTATTTTTTCCAACAGCCTCCTCAATCGCCTAAAAATAATTCGCAAAAACAGTCGGTGAGTGACCGAAAGAAATTTTTTGAAACTGCAATGGAAGAGAGTCAGAAATCTACTAAACCAGGTAATTACTTTTTCAATTCTTATTATTCGTGAGGATTCATGAACAAAACACCTAGAAGTGAGTAAAAATTTTAATTATCAGGGAGGGGGATGAAGAGACAACACCCATTAAAAGTACAATTTCTTTGATAGAGAGTTGTATGTTTTTTGGGTTGTAGATCATCTTTATGTCTGGTATCGCAATTATGTTATGCTCTACTTTCATTAAAGTGTGTTCTGACAAAACAGACTACAAGCATACTAATGACTACCAATAAACCAGGAACATCTGTCTGCGGTTTAGATTTTTGAGTATTTTCTAAATCAAATTCATTTAAAAAAACATATCTGGTATTACACCCTGAACACAGATGTCATGTAGATGAAAGTTTCCTCCGTGAAGACATTGGTTAATACCTCCAGCCAGGGGTCATCTAAACGGCATCTGTTGATGCTTTTTTCATCGAAAAGGGCCATAATTTTTTATTAATACTCAATAATGGAAATATTTAATGTGTCTGTTCATGAGTGGTAAATATTTTGTGGGATAAATAAATGTCTCAATATTATAAAAGCAATTGAAATTTGTGATCTTTTTATTTGAAAATTTGGAGCATTGCAGTTTCCATATTTTTATGATTTCAGAAAAAGTATTCAGCTATTTAAGTGCCGACGAACTAGAAAAGTTGAAAGCAGAAGAAGAGAAAAAAATAGCTACATTATCATCTTCGGAAATAAACTACTCTCATGAATCGGATCATTCAGATGGAGAGTCTGTTTTATCACATCGTTCAAGGTAAAAATTATATTTATTTCATTCTAGTATGGAAAGGTTCAAATATTAAAGAGCACCTCATTCAAGTAACCTGTTCCAACAAGTTCTCTAAACGAACTTAATAATGTGAAATGATTCACATTAAAAATAATGTAGTTTTCAGAAAAAGGAAACAAAAGAAAACCTATCAAACTCTGCTGAATTCTAATGCTTCTGAACAAATGCAAAAGCATATATGAGGCGTGACATTGCAAAACTCGCTATATCAAAACAGATACAGTATGGAAAAAATCATTACACTTCTGTTCCTGGTTGACCCAGAAACAGTTTTTAGGAATTCTCAAAATTGTTCACAAATTAATGTAGCATATTTTGCAATGCAACATCTCATATGTAATAGAGGTGAAATTTCAAAGATTTTGATAAAAATTATTTCAACTTTCGAAAGTAAACTTATCAATAATTATGATGTAATTGAAGGCTTCAAAACATAGTTTCAAAAATATAAAATATTATGCACAAATCGAGTATTTGGCAAATATTCTCTCAATAACACGCCTGAAAACATTATATTTGGCCCTTGTAGAATCCCATTTGTCATATGGAATCATACTTACCTTTCTAATATCCAAAAAATCAGAATAACATGACAAAAATAACTTATGAAAAACCGAGAACTTACTCAATTGATAACCTTTATGATGAGACAAAACTCTTTGACATTTTTTTGTTCAAATAGTTCAAAAATAAAGCAGGATTAGTTCCTACAGTACATGCCATCAGACAAGATACAAAAGTAAGTGCTAGTAGCACGAACAGAAAAAGTGATAGGACAAAGATGTTATACCTAATCCAAGTTTTTTAAGGTTCTACTTGATTTCTTGAAAATTTTAAATATTTTTCTCAAACATAAAATATATGGAAAAAGAAACCTATTTGAATACTTCAATACCAGATATCCTATTTTTACTGCAGAAAAATTGTTGAATTTTTAAATGTTTTAAAAAGAAAAATTCCACCTCATCGTTTTTTCAGTTTTTATCTGTTTTCATCATTTTCTAATCTTCTTTGTTTTGATTATTTTATATTTGAAATAATTGCAGTTTCCCAATATATTCACTTTCCTTTAATTTGTTTTAATGCTTTTATTATATTTGATAGCTGTATAATTTTCCGTATTTTAGTTTTAAATCTATTTCAAATTTGATCTACATTCTCTAGCAAATATTACTGTCTTTAATTATTGAAAAAAATTCCTAAGCACAAGTTCGCTTCACTGGGAGGTTTATTGCCACGATATGCTATTTGAAATTTTAAATTGTACCAATAACTAATACATAACCCTCAAATATATTAACATATATAAAATGCATCAATAAAAATATAAGTAGAAGAACAAGGAACAGTACAGATAAATAATAAAAATAGTTGAAGGTGTATACAGAAAATTTACAAAATTGAATAAAAATATAAAAGTGAAATTTGGCCAGATTATAAGTTGTTCAATGAAAATTATCATTATAAAACTCATCCAGACTATAATTAGGTTTTTCATAAAATGAAAATTGAATAGCCTTCTTGGAATCATTGTAATTGATTGTGTTCTTTATATTATTAGGTCAATGATTAAACATTTTGCATCCATTATAAATAAATTAATCCTTCACAAAAGCAGGATTTGGTATGAGTAATTTGATTGTATTTTTTCTGCAGCTAGAATATTGTGTATAGTGTCTTTACCTTTGCCGAGCTACTCACAAATGCAGTCTATAAGGGCAGGAAAACTGGGATAAGCGTCAAGCTGTGTTCCAAATATTTTCGATGATAGAAATTTCCATCAAAGTTTTTTTTTTCATAACTAGTCTTCTCTAATATAACAATTTTTTATATAGTGTCTGTCTTATTGTAAATGATCTTGAAATATGATTTTTTATCATCTTTTGGAGCTTACAGCTAATTCATTCCAAGTTTTTAAAACCAACTCATTCTGAATTTTAACAAAATTTAAACAGTATGAAAAATATTTGTTCATTTTTTTCGTCAAAAACTTTCCTCTTATCATAAATGTATGGAGTCATCAAGAAGACAGTCGCACCTTATGGTATGAGTCAGTCTCCATCAACACGAGTACTTGACAAAAATCACTGCGTAAAAACCAGCGAGACATAAGTAGAACCACCTGTTGGTGTGATATTCAAGTGTGCTTGCCAAGTTTTTATGTCGACGTTGGTGGTTTGACCAATTTTTAAAACCGACAACTGCTTTAACAGAAATTGAGAAATCTATCTCGGAATACCACTGGAAAACAAATCCGCATGTTTTTAGAAATTATAGGCAGATTTTATATCATTTCTAGAAACATGTGAATTTGTTTTCTGATGTCATTACGGTAGAGTTTTCCAAATTTCTGCTAATTCAATCATCGATGTTGAAGATTGGTCAAACCACCAATAACTTACAAGTAAACTTGGATGTCTATTCTCAACAAGAATAATATTAAGTAAAAAGTGGTGATAGTGACTTTCCTTATGAATATGTCATATGTGAGGTCGACAGAAAACTCAAACCACGAATATCAAAGATGAATGGGGGTCCTAACGACAATTTGTTGGGAAACCAAGCTTCAACTTTGACTGCTGATTATAGTTTGCTTTTGGATTTCTGGGGCTTCCATTTCAAGGGCAACTAGATTATACCACCTGTTGAACTCTGGTATCTTTATTATATAGATTTTTTTTCATTGTGAAAGTTGCAGAGAGAGACAGAGAACCTAATTTGTTGGTCAAAATCAGAAATTGGCTTTGCATTGGATCGTCATTGGCGAGTTTTTGCAAACTCAATATATGGTTTCTTTGTAAGTAGATTCGTCATCGCTACAACTAACTCGGGGTTATTTGTTATATTCAAGACGGAATGATTTTCAATGTTTCATCCATGACTATGGTACTGACAAGATTTATGGCAGTTCGAACCAGCGATTCAAATCCAATGTGAATCGCTACTTTCGCACAGACACCGCTCTGAGAGCTCCTTAAGGATGTTCCTGTAGTGCTTGTGTTTTGTCCTTAAAAAAATCATCCAGTATTAGATTATGAATGCAATGCTTCTGGGTTCTAATGTCATCTAGAATAATTGCATTAACTTGAAACAAAAAAATATCAGTTGGTGGTAATAGAAGTATTTATGATGATATGGAAAGAAATGTTGATGTTCTACTCACACAATGGAAGTTGAAAATAATCAAGAAATTTATTCGTTTCTGACTAGTATGCTTTTATTCTCCTATTTATTTCAAAATGATGACATTTTTCCTAAAGCATTCTGTAATGCTTGTTGTATGTGTGTTTATGAAAGAGATTTGCTTATTTCATAAAATGAACTTCAAATAAAATAAGACCACATGAATTTTATATGAGTAATTCGTGTGATTATTGGTATTACATCTCCAGTGAAAAAATTGCATAATCTTTAAATGTTTTCAATATTGAAGTATTCTTAATAAACATTACAATTTCTACCACATTAAAGTTGCTTCGTTGTTCGTCAGAATACAAAAGTATAATAAATCTCTGTCATCGACCTTCAAATTAACTTAAAGAATACATTGATTACTTATCTGCTCAGACCTTCTAGTACTATTGGAATAGTACGCACAGCGAAGGCTGAAAAACGACTCAAAGAAATGATGCGAGAAGAGGGACTACAAACTGATGACGATGACAACCCTTTGTCTCCTGCTGAAGAGAGGGCCCTACGTGCTGAGAAGAGAGCTGCTTGGCGTGCCGCAAGATTGAAATCTCTGGAGCAAGATGCCATTCAAGCTCAAATGGTTATAAAGAGTATGACGGATATCGTTGGAGAAGGTGCACATCAGACAATAAATGAAGTATCCCATAAGGAAGAGGTATTTATTGATTGCAATGATTTTTTTTCTGTTCTTTGATGAATTAAATACCGTTTGACAACATATTATTAGATGATATTTTACATAGCATAATACATTTTTCGGTTTTTCCACAATCATAAATAAGTTCCATCTTTGGGTTAGTCAAAATTATGTCTATTTGATTTTTCAAGTCGTTTTTCTATTAATTTCAACATTTTCGTTTGATCATGGATGTAGGATTATGTGCATGACTAGATTTCGTTTTTTATGGATGAAATGTACTAACGACTGGAATGATTTAATTTGAATCATTGTTTTAATGTCTCTAATTATTTTGAACATTACATTTATTGTAACTAACCTTTTGTTCTTCAAACTAACAGGTGTTGCCAATTCAAATTAATAAATTAACAGTTCCTTCCCGTTAAGTGATCATTCAGCAAATATCAAAATTTTAACTTTAGGGAATTATTTTGCTTTTGAGCTAAGATTTGTTCTATTGATTTCTTTGTATTAAATTTTTATGGAAATCAGCGGTAAAATTATTTACTTCATCAACAATCAAGTAATTCACTATACGAAGGCATAATTGATGAAGCATTCATATCTGGAAACTATGTGTATTTCTTGAAGTAATCTATATCCTTAAAAACAAAAGGTCGAGAAATAAAAATAGTAGTTATAGAAAAATCAGTTTATATAGTAAAGGGTCTTTCAACAGGGATTTCCGAACTTTGACAATTGATAACGGCCATCTCGTTGAAGCTACATCTGTCAAATTAGTTGTCATTTATTCAGTCTGTTTCGCCATATCGCCATGGACGGATATATCATTCAACAACATGCTCAAATAATAAAATGGTTCCATCAAAATGGGTGTTCTGTAACATATCGCGCGCTTCGCCATATTACGGTCGCCATAATCGTCCTACCGAGAGGACTATTTGCAATGTAGTGGATAAATTGGAGTCCACTGGGACGATATCAATCCACATGAGATTCAAGAGCGTCCAATGCACCCCAAAAACAAGACGGCAACAAGTGCCACACGTGCACGTACCACATTGGATATTCTGCGATTTGAGGGCACGGTCATCTTACGTAAAGGTGATGTGGACTGGCCACCAAGATCGTGTGATTTGACCCTCTTAGACTTTTTCTTGTAGGGTTTTCTCAAGTCGCAGGTGCATGCGAATAAGCCACAAACCACAGCGGCCCTCAGAGCCAACATAACCCTTGTCATCGGTCAAATTCAGCCTGTTTATAAGCCAGTTATGGAAAATTTGACGTTTCGGACGCGCTCCACCCAGAGAAGCCGTAGCGGATATTTGAACGATATTATATTCTACACATAATGGCATCAATAGGTCTTTCGATGATATCTCGCACACTTTGTTTTATTTAAATTCAAAGATAGGAAGCGCTTAATATTTTTATGAGTACTGGTTTCCAACATGGTTTCCACTAAATCAAGTCTACCAATTCCACTATTGCATGATTGTGTTCGCAAGTATATAATTCCCTGTACTTGAAGAAATTCTATTTTCCTTTTTTCAAACTGTATTGAAAGTTTGATTCTGTTGAGTTTTTTGTTTAAAAAAAATAAACGTGCCCTCCAAAAAATAACGTCACTATAAAATTCGCAACTACATCTGCATCTATAACTATAAAGGGCCCTAATTAAAATCCTTTAAATGAAATAAAAGAACAATTTCAGAAGAGATCTAGCCTAGTAATCAGTCAACTAATGTTATATGTTAGGTCTGTTCAAAATTTTCCAAAGTAAAGTCAATCATTACAAAATTGGCAACACCCTTTTTTAACTAACATCAAACTCACTGGACTCGTCCACTTGTCCAGGCCACTACTAACCCTGTTGCATGCCCTGTTCAGCTACGCCCCTCGAGTGCAGACTTCCCCAAGCTGGCAGTCAGAACAACTCCGGGCAACACGATTGTTCGAGAAAGTGAAAAGGTGCTGGGGGAAACTATAACTCGCCGAACTGAAGAATATGTCGATGAAGCGGGAGAAAAACGAGTGCGAACAGTGGAGTACGTAGAGAAGCTGATAGAGAGAGAGGTATAAGAACTAGAAGGCTTGTTCAAATCAGCATGATACTCTCTTTTATGCACACATGGTTAGTTTTTTAACACTTGTTTTCTCTCATATAGTTTGGTAGTTTGATGGTCAAGAAAAGGGAGAGCAGGATCATTTTTCGGAGATATGCCTTCAAATTGTCTAATTTTCTAAATCAATAGTTTTATTTTTCAAATACATTTCTGAAAACCTCTATTCGGAGGAAGAACACCAGGCAAAAATTTACTATTACTCTAATATCAGAAATTATTTTGTTTTAATGATTCAAATCGCCTAGTTGTTCAGAACCCACTTTTAAACTTACTAAAGTTACTAAACTTGCTACAGTTCACTCAAGCAGGAATTTTATCATTCCTCAAGCAGAAAGGTTTTGTAAACTTTTTATAGTAAAAATCTTACAAGCTGTATCAGTACCAGTCAGTTATACTTGACGAAAATATGCACTTTGATAGCTTTATTCCGAATACTACTGCTCTACACTGAATAACAGAAAAAAATTAAATATTTTTCAGTTTTGGATGAAAATAAAAAATGTGCAAAGGAAGGAAAGTACAATAAATAAAAGCCTCCAATACCTGTGAAGTTCTGTGGGCTGAACGATAGCCTGGAAAGTAGTTTGGTTTCTGATGATTAGGATTTTTGCAAATATCCAAAATAATTTCATTTCCCATAATAAAGTTATATTTTGGTTCTGAAGTAAAGTGCTTGTTTTTTCATCAAAATGATTCAATTTTATTATCTTCATTTTTGTTTCATTGTTTTTTTCGAAAATTGGCACTGTTCTACCTGTGGTTGGGGTTGCATTGTCGAATGCCTTGCATTTTGTTTTTAACCTATCATTTCATTTGGCGAAAAAACTGTTATTTACATTGTGGCTTTTGTTATGGTAAATAGCTTTCACTGTTTTTCAGGAATTTATCAACTAGTTGACAAATTGATACTTCTAGTGATCATTTGTTTATTTTGAAATCTATTTCCATTTTTAATTTTGCTCTCAGTGGATAGAACCAGATATTCATAAACTGAATAATGTATCATAAACTTGTAACATTTGAGAAATTACCATTTCCGGATGTGCAAGTTCAAAGATGTGGCAATCATCAAAGTGTTCTCTTCAAGTGACAGGCTCATTGACACTGTCGACTATCACTTCAAGAGAACATTGACTGCTTCCACCAGCTTCAAGCAGTTGGAACCGTTTTATAGAAAACAACTTTTGCATTTCTAGAAACACAAAAATAATCCGAAATAGTTTTAGATCTGATGAATATCCTAAGATATATTACGTTATACTGTTAGTATGTATATGAAACATTGCTGAAATAATTATTTTTACATGATTTCTGTTCTATATATGAGAATTCCTCTCAATGCAATTTTGTTATTTTTCCTAAATTGGGTTTGATAGTCCGACCATTTACATCGATAGGCATGCTTTGGCCACTTTCCCTAATATGCGTTTTTTGCTGCTGATGAGGAGACATCTTACTTATCTATATCTTGCAAGTCTCCAAAAAACACTGCAACCCTATGAGCTCATTGTGTTTTACGTCCCATTTTTCCAATGATACCCATTTCAACAAATCTTGTTCTTTTTATTAGTTTGTACCGGTCCTTTTTGGATGTGTTCACATGTCCAGTGAATAGCCCTGTAATAATTTAAAATTTTTCCCTGCTCTGTTGAAGCTTTCCTTCAGTTCAGTTACAAGATAGTCTCTTTATAAAGGAGTTTCAGGGTGTGTTCCCAGATAGGTTTTCTCAATACTGCATATTCCTTATTGGCCCAATTCCTGGTCTGTTCCCAACAGATACTTTGGTACCCTACAGATAGTTCACAGCCAGTCCACAGCGATTCAGGACCAACTGTAGCGAGTTAGAAATTTATTGGGTGGGTGATTTGTGTGCCTCATTATGAATAATTCTGCCGTTTGAATCAAGTCTGTTTGATTTTGAGGATGGATAGTAAGAAATGTTTCATTCTCTCTATGAGCAAACAAAATCCATAACAAGTATCGTCTTATTTCGATAATACAAACCATTTCTCTACTGCTCATATCCTACAATGGATTCAACATCAGTGTGTTATTATTTCAAGATGAAGATGGTAATAATGCACTCATAATACTGTGTTATGCCAATGGATCTATGCTGACATAATACTGAATATGCCAACAGCAGCAACTCATAGTAAGTTGGTTTAAATAATCTCAGGAAGATATTAAAGGGACCATCACGGTAGACCAAGATTATTCTGTTGGCCTACTGAAACCTCTAGTTTAGATTCGAGCATTGTTCCCAAACACCAGAACTGCATCACTCTTCTCGACACGCGTTTCACCTACCAAATTAGTGTCTTTAGGAGATGAGGTAGACTATTTCGTAAATTTAAAACTGGCCTATATTCATATCGTAACATGGTACACTTTCATTTTCAGATTTCGGTTAGAACTTCCCGGAATATTTTCTCGTGAAAGTTCCCGCTATTTTCCACAATGTATCACTACTAAAGTGTCATAATACCGGGTGTCAACGAATCTATTAGACAAGTCATAACTTCTAGACTATTAGGTGTATCAAAACGAGAGATTTGGTACAGATAAATGGTATGTGGAGAGGAGAGTTTTCACATATTTTTCACTTTCCGGTCACTTCCGGTTTCAGCGGAAATGGCTCCGGTTCTGAATTTTTAAATGGAACACCCTGTATATTGTAACATTTTTGGATTTCTGAGACAATTCTGGATCAGAAACTGACATTTCCGGAAGTTTTTCAGCCTACTTGATTTTTTCAGAGTCACTTTTAAAATTGCATCTAGGTGGCCATGATCGGACGTAAACTAATCTATGGACCTCAGGTGATATCAGAAAATTGCAATAGCGGAGTTTTAGTGACTAGTGTGTTGAATATGAATGAGACAAGTTTACAAAATAACATTTTCGTGTCTAACTATTATNGTCAGTTTCTGATCCAGAATTGTCTCAGAAATCCAAAAATGTTACAATATACAGGGTGTTCCATTTAAAAATTCAGAACCGGAGCCATTTCCGCTGAAACCGGAAGTGACCGGAAAGTGAAAAATATGTGAAAACATTCCTCTCCACATACCATTCAACTATACCAAATCTCATTTCAATTCTCCTAATAGTCTAGAAATTATGACTTGTCTAATAGATTCGTTGACACCCGGTATAGTGCCAACACATGACACTAGATTTTTGTCTGCTTTAGAAGTCTGGGGAAAAAGCAAAGTGTGGCATGAGAACTACAAACAAAGGTCCCATAGAGTCCATTGTTTGCCTTAATATGAATCGCTCTGTTGAAATAAGCGTGAAATTTCATGAATGAATTTTCCGCGAATTTCTACCTAAAATCAATGATGTGTGTCTGAAAGTGAAAGAGCGTCGACTCTGTTAGAAATAAATAGAGGCCAATCTTAGAGTTGGGAATAAGTCTACTTCATGAAGAAGAGGCCAACTTTTTACTGTCATGCTTGAGGCAGATTACTTACAGACTCTAACTAGTCCCATTCTCTCAGGCAGACACTCCAAACTCTATTGTAGGGAGAAGAATAACGCTGGAATGAATGATTTGGGATACGAATTCCTATGATTGTGCATAACTTCTTTGGTTTTCAGCTCGGAATGGCTACTTGTCAGTCCTCTTCACTACTCTAAGAGAGTAGACTAAGTCTGAAATGGCAAACATATTTGTATCGAAAACTACGATATTTTTATGACTGTTTCAGTGACCAGATCTATAGAAGTTTCTGGTGATATTTGAAGTGGATGGAATTCTCTACTAAGATCACTTCTTGCAAGTGATTTTTCTTCCAAGTAATAAAGCATTCTATCATCCTGATCCAGGTGTGTGAGAGACATACACCTGGATCAGGATCAGGACACCATACATTCTCTAGAAATCTCTACATTGTCCTCTCCTAAGATCTATTGTTATATGTTTGTCTCCCGAATTTACATGCATAAACGTTTCCTACATCCTTAAATCTGCTGAAAATCATTTTCTCAAGAGATATGAAGTTAAGGATTATTCACATAAAACAAATGGAAGCAACGAATGATGGCAATGATGCAGAAAAAAGGCCACTGAGGAAATCACTTGGAAACACTCTCCTTATAAGCTAACTGTCCTATTTGGGCTCTACTCCTGCCAAATGTTATAGGAAAGTATGCCCTTCAGGATGGAATCATTGGTCCAAGACATCTCAAAATATCTGTGCAATGGAGCCGAGCTTCTTCCTAGCTACTTATCAGATTTCTTCAAATTTACTGTACCAATAAGTGCACAAAATAATCTGAAATGTACATGCACAAGTACATGGAAGTGCAAATGATAATTTCGTAACCTTAAAAATATTGATTTTACCATAAGATCAGAATTATAGTAGAAAAATGTAAAGTCATAATATCGTGTATATTTAATTTCACTACAATTCATAAAGAAGGTACTTTTTTGACACCAACTGTTAATAGGATCGCCTGTTTACAAACTCCTAAAATGGATATGAAATGTTGAAATACTATTTTCAAAAACTGAATAGTATGCAATGAATGTGTTTATATTGAAAATAAAAAATTCCAGACGAATCTTTTTGCCATATTTTTCCTATTCACCAATATTCCGGTAAACCTCACAATTGAAATTATAACAGAAAGGTGAAGTTATACATCTGATCTCAAAGAATTGCCTTTTTTATTCAATATTCAGTCGCCCAACATAAAATTGGTTCTAAACTTGAAAAAATGTATAACTGAAACCTCTGGTGCCGAATGAATCCAATACAAATACTCTTCCACACAGGAGAACTAAAACACTTTTCTTGACAAACAATTCACCAACTAAGTTAATATCAACATGAGATGAACTGTACTAAATACTACATAGAACAGTTCACTATTTACTACCTATAAGCTTATCCTTCCCATACTTTTTGTATATATCAAGTATGTCATTTTCTCAAAATTGCTTCTCTGAAATAATACACTCTATTAAACTATTGGTGATCACTTACACAATTGTATATTGTAATATTTTCTTCTACTTGGCTCTAATCTTCACAAGTATCCTCATACTTAGGTATTGATAAAAAGTTCTGGTGGGATTTGTAATGATACATGGAGTTTTTAAACAGTAGAGTGAAGTAACCAGGTTACTATTTGGAACAGTCACCTAGAGCCATTGTGGTTTAATGTATCAAACAGGAATTAACTCGCCACATTTGCAATAAAAAGCTGCTTACAATTACATAGTTACACAGTTTTAATTGTTACCCCGACTTTTCAACTTACTCTGAACGAATTCATCCCTTTCTCAGAATTTACCTATGGGGATGATTTATTGCCTGGCCAATTGAATCACTCTTCTATTTAAAAAATTAATGAATTCGATAAAATATTGATATTTTTTTTCTATAGAATATAAACCGCAGCTACTACACAAGTCATAACAATCTGCTACAGATCCTGTATCACGATTCACAAAATATCATTTTCCGAAAATGTATGCTAGCTAGAAACCGCAAACAATCTCAACAAATTCAAAATTAAATTGAGAAAATCGTTTGCAATAATTTCCGCTTCAATAAAACTAAATTCACATAGTATACAATGTTTTATTCTCCATGGTTCATGCGTCTATCATTATTTATATTGTTACCTGAGGACACACCTTTAAAATCATTATCATTATCATTAATGATTTTAAGAAATACAGTTGAAAAATTATTTGTTATGTGCTGTACTAATTTTATATTGACTTTTACAATTAAATTTCATTAGGATATTACTGGAATAAAGCAAACTAGTATTAAATAAAAATCACAACAGACACCTATTCTATTTTAGCAGCCAGGAAAATCGTTCCGATTATTGTATATACCTGCAGTTCGAATAAATAATTTTTAGAATTTGTGAAAAATTTAATTGAAGTCATAGATTTTGCAACATTGAATTTTGCATCAAATCAAAATTTGTTACATTTTGCAATCTATTGAAAATTAATAAAATGTAATTCCTTGATAGGTGGAACAAATTCAAGAAAAAATAATTTCTCTAGAACTAACAAAACCGGAAGATTTAAGGCTTGATCTGACCGCCCACAGTCTTGTTTCAAAGGAAGATGATGAAGAAGATGAAGAAAATGTCTCCGAACCGCCAACTCCTACTACAGATCACGAACAAATTCTTGTCTCTTCAGAAGAATCCGTTAATAATAAAAAGAAGCGAAAAAAGCGTTCCAAAAAAGGAAAACACTAATTTGAATTTTGAACCTCATTGTTACAAAAGCGTTTGATTAAATTTTATATATTTTCTAAAAGACTAGGACCAGACAAAAATATTCACCAATACCAATTGTATGTATAATTTCTTTATCCAATAACATCACAGTTGTTTCACCAGGGTGTAAGGTATTCTAAATATAGGGTAAAAAAATGTATTATCTGATTTGTGTAACTAAATTATTGTTTTATTGTACAAAAGTATTCAATTGTAGTTTTACATATTTTATGTATTTTTATCAGTCACATGTATGTACTATAAATATTTCCAAGGCTTTCTGTGCATACCCATTCCATTTTTATACAATTGATTGTTTTATTGGGGTTTCGCAGATTTTTAAATGCAATTGACAATTTAAAATATGCTTTGGATAGGTATTTATATTTTTAATAAATGAATACATTATTTATGTATTTTTATTTATCTTTACTTCTTGGGTGCTATAATTCCTTCTAGTTGAGTCTGAAAAAAATTGTAATACGTTGTAAAAAGTTTTTAACTGAAATCTTTAATATCCTTAAAATTAAAAAATGGTCATTGGATTAGTATGAAAATAACATATATTTTAGGAGAGATTAGTATCTGGTAAAGAAGCTTTTTGGTTTTCTAGTAAATTATACAAAAAATGTGTAAAAGAAAGTAAATTAATTCAAAATAAAGTATTTACAAAAATGTGTAGATCATGCACAGAAGTTTCTTTCAGATACAAACTTAAAGAAAAATTCCATTTGGTACAGTTATTCAAATACTGAAATCTTTAATATCCTTAAGATTAAAAAGTTTGTACTCAAGTAATAATGCAATAGAAACCGATATCATTCACAGAAATACTAAACAATATGATATCTGAAAGGGTATTGATATTAAAAATATTTTACATAGAAAGTATGTGATCGATAGCTTTGTATGGGTCTATATTACTTGGAAAGTTTCTTTTTTTTATGAAATGGTTATACTGGATGTTTCAGAAAATACACCTTGTTTGTGAGAAGTTGAATAAATAACAACATATTGAAGACTGAAGACACTTTCAAAACGTTGACGTTGATAAAATCAAGTGATTTAAAAAGTTACAAGTGCAAGCAGATGAAAAGATGTTTATCTAGTTACTTTAATCAGAGTAAACGGGGTGGAATTTATGAAAGGGAGGTACTTTTAGAAGAAAACATTTTCTACTCCATATTCAAAGAAATACAAAGTAATGAAATAACAAAACTCATTAGAAAATAATGTAGTAGATAAGAAAGACACACCACCAAACATTTATAATTGAAATAATTATCAATACATAAGAAAAATGTAACTGATAGCTGTATATACGTGAAAAATAATTCCGAAAAACTATTATTGAGGGTCTTTGTTAACGAAATAGAACGAAAAACAATTATTTTTATAAATCATGTCTGTGACCAGTGATTTTGGTGTATTATTAATATATTGTGGCGTGCTTCACTTGATGTTTTGTATTTACTTTTTTTGAAAGGTTCATAGGTAAAATGGTACACCCATTTTAAGAATCATGTCAAACATTTATTGGAAAAAGTATTGGATTATTAGGCCAAAACAATAACTCTCAGCTCCTCATCAGCACTATTTTGACAGATGATTCTCTCAAAATTGTCATACTTTTCCTTATTATTGAAGTTTTATATTATTGACGCATTAATGCGAAAACAGAAAGACAAAAACTCATATCTGCGAAAACATATTATCCTTTCAAGAATACAACTAACATAAAATTCAAGTAACCAAATTCAAAATGAACATGTTCCTTTGGTTTGTATCTAAAAGATGTATTTTTGTTTAGGATCTACACATTTATCTAAACTTTTTTGGGGAGCTTTCCACTCTACACAATGAATATGTAGGCACATGAAAAGTCGATAAATGACCCTGGATATTTCCATCCAAAGTAGCTATTATATTCTCTTGAAAACTATATGAACCAGTTTCAGTGCTTCTGCCATTCATGAATCCGTGCTGATTTGCAGATAGCAACCTATTCACAGTTTGAAATTAAAGCAGTTGATTTTTTATATTCCACTCATGAAGCTCACCATAACTTGCCAAATAAATGACTTATTCCTTCGTAGTTTTCAATGGAGTGTGGGTCATCCTTTTTATAAACTGGTTTTATAAGCGATAACTAATGTTTGTTCGGGAAAAATCTCTTGTTCAACACATAAATTTATTAAATATGCCAGGATATGACTCTGTTCATGACCCCACCTCTCAAGTAGATTATTTATCCCAACATGCCGACATTAGTGTGTATTTAATGATATTTATCAGATTTCAAATTAGTTTGATTACCTCTATTTAACTAATAATGTGATTTATTTGAATATGATTGAAAATTTATATCTTCGTTTGTTTGAAGGTGGTTGACAATGTTTCATGGTGCATTTCATCACCACGGACTTCCATTGTCTAATATAAATTGATTTGAAATACCTGAAGGAATATGTAAAAAATTGAAAAGATTAACTGAAAAAACAATTTTATTAAGCAAAAAACTGAAATTACAATGAAATAACATACAAGCAACAATCGAAAAACCATCCAAAAAAAAACTGAACTATTAACACGAGCTGAAAAAATTAAAAAATTATCAACAAAAAATGAAAATTAGAAATATAAATTTAAAAGATTCCAAACCAAGTTACTTCACGACGTTTCGATTGTTAGTATCCACAATCGTCTTCGGCTGATAACTGGACTTATTCCTTTCACCTATCCCTCATTGTTTTTTTAGCGGTAGCTGATCGTTTGGCGGAAGTTGGTCATTTTCCGCTTGATTAGAGGTTTTCATATGATACGTATCTCTACGCTAACTTGGCTAAATGTGTTGTTGGCAACATATATGCGGCTCCTTTGAATTTTCTTTCAACTCAGTGATCCTCCTTGTGGATGATATCAGCTTGAGCCCATGATCAGCTCCCGCTGAAAACCCGATGAAGCGGAGATAGGAAAGAGGGGATAGGTGAAAGCAGTCGAATGACCTGTGAATAGTCAGATGTCGAAGGAATAAGTCCAATTATCACCCGAAGACGATTGTGGATATTACCAATCGAAACGTCGTGAAGTAACTTGGTTTGAAATATTTTAATTTTAATATTTCAATATTCATTTCTTGTTGATAATTTTTTCAGTTCGTGTTGAAGTTTCATTTTTTTTGTTTTTTTTTGGTTGTTGCTTGTATGTTATTTCATTGTAATTTCAGCTTTTTGCTTAATAACATTGTTTTTTCAGCGAATCTTTTTAATTTTTCACATATTCTTTCAGGGATTTCAAATCAATTTATATTAGACAATGGAAGTCTGACCTGATGAAATGCAATTTATATCTTTTTGAGTGGCAGAAGATGTTGGGATAAAGTAAGTTTTGAAAATCAAGTTATAAAATGACATTAATTTGAACCATAGTCTGCACCAATATCATTCCAATACAACAAGAAGGTAATGAAATAACCTTTAACTGCTGGTTAGTCTTTTTCAAAAATGCTATCTCCTCTGTATGCTTTCGTTCCTCAGCCAGCCTGGTCTCAGCTGCTCTACGATCGGCCTGTTCTGCTTTTTGTTTCAATTCGGTTATCTGCTGCTCTAGGTCACGTTTTTCATTCTTCAAGATATCCACATCTTTAAATAAGTCCGACTTACCTTGCTCTGCTTGAAGGGCTTTTCTCATTCCTGAAAATGAGACAAACGGGTATAAAAAACTTTTACAATTGATTACAGGCTTAATCAATTAAGAATATTTAAGATATTTTTACTCCAAATAGATGAACTTCAATAATTTCGAGTATAGTGTAGAGGTCAATTCACTTTCTCGATTTGATTCAGAAAGTAGAACCAAGACTGAAATTTTATAGTTCTTCCAACTTTTCCCATTACAATGAGTAATGCTGTCTGTGACATCAGCATTCTATCACTGCTTCTTGTAAATACTCTGAGAAATCTGAAATCATATAGGTATATTCTCAATGAGATTTTTCTACTCGTTCCAAAAGTATGATTTTGAAGCCCCAATTTTGAATGTAGCTTGACTTTTACTCTCTTAAAATTTAAAATACTCAAACTACATAGTCAACCAAAAAGTTACGGAATAAAAGTTCTCCCCAAAACCACAGCAAAATAGGGTACTTTGGAAAGTTATATCAAATGATCATCTAATGTACGCATTCTTCTGATGATGCTAATTTAGTTAGCGAAACACACCTCAGGAGACAGTATTTTTGTGTGCAAAAAGTATTTTGAATAGATTATATCAGAGAGTCAAGCGGTTCTGAAAGCCCTACTTGTGGGTGTGAATTAACTTGGGACGGCAATGCAAAAAATTCCGAGACAACTGGGGCTGAGAGAAATCAAATATCTTTATGTGGGTGATATGTCACAAGGAAATCAAGTAATAGTAAAAAAAGAATCGAAAGAAGATGAACTCAAATTGAGAGGACAAGAACTGAAAGAACAAGTATAGGAATATAGGCTTTCCCGGCTGGCGTCAATGTTTTGGTTGGTTTTCGGGTTTGCCGTGGTCTTCTTTGGTTAAAATCTCCAAATATTTCAACTGCAACTGCGGTAGTCATTTTCGGTGGCGTGGTCGAATTAGGTACTCTTCCTGACGTATCAACTGAAACTTAGTTGATACGCCAAGGAAAGTTGTAAAGTGAAAATTTGACTTTATCAATCATCAAAAATACTTGTTAAGAAATGTATCATTTATTTGTGGAAATCATAAGATACATGTATATAATTTTAGAGTTCCAATCTAGTAAACATCCTCTATTTCATTTTCTTGATAATTCTGAATCTCATTGCATAGTTGGTGTAGTCTAAAGAAGAAATAAATGAATTTTCCATAATCACTATTAATTTACAGCCCTTGGTATTTTCCAAGGAGCGTGGGTTATCCAACCGTCACGAACGTTTTATCTGGTTTGGAGTCCTTATGGATCTCCAAATACCGTCTTTTGCTGCCGAACAGTTTTTGAAAAAGTTTAACATATACTTCTCGAATAAGTCAGAGTTGATTTCCGTTACAAAGATAAATTATTTTTGGAGATCAACCTGATACCTTGTTTTTTCCCTTTTGAAATATATATACATGCATAAAGTTTTAAAAATCATTTTGTGTAGCCATGATGAAAGTTATATGAATTTATACATAGTTTCTTTTGTAAGATCCTAGTGCAGCTGCAGCGGTGCTGTAATTTCATTTGTTATGTTACCGGATAATAAACTTTTTTATAAAGAAAACTATAAATGCTTTCTAGCTATCATATATTTTTGAGATCTTAGTCTGAAACGACGATTAGATTCATTATCGACTCAAGAATATTTTTATTTCTTGATTTTAGTGAATTAAAATGAAGTGGCGCCCCATCCATAAAAAATAAAACAAAACACGACCGCTGCTCTCCCAATAATATTGACTGCAATTTGTTGCCTTTTTTTTGAAATTCTTTCTTAGGCGTCGAATATAGATCACCATAAATAATATTATCTGAAAAAGGTGATAGACTACGCCACTAAAGATGACTGCCGCAATTGCAGTTGAAACATTTCGAGAATGTAATCAAAGAAGACCATGGCAAAACCCAGAAACCAACCAAAACATGAAAGAACAGGTACCTACCAAGAATGCTTCAACACTTAGAAAAAAGGTAACATGAACTGTTTATAAGAATGATTCCAGGCCACCGAGTTTTCTAGCATGAAAAATATCTGAAAAAGTGCAGACTTTTATAGGTATAACTTTCGTCCTCGCTGTCGAAGCACATACCACTGATGATGTTAACCCGGATTTTGTTCTCTCCGGCCGTGAAAGCCTAGGTTTTTATGATACATGTCTATGTTCGCCTCAGAGAAAGATAAAAACTGGGAAAAACTAGTATCGAAAATTCATCTCGCATGAAGGGGCGCAGTCCACGAAGCAACATCTTTTCTCTATCTATACTGATAACTGGAAGAGAAATGAAACTACTGTCAGAATAACTATTTGATTTGCCACCAAATAAAGACACCCCGAAAACGCGGAAAGAATCTTTGGAGCCGCGAAACAAAGTCTACAGGTTGCTAGCGACCGGATGAAGACCCGGTTAGATTAGAAAGCGAGTACAACCATAGAGATGCTGTGTGGAATACAGAGTATCACCAAGAAGATGCCGTGTGGTTATTTCAACCATAGAGGTTGAAGGAAATCTGCCCGAAAATATAGAGAAGATGGCAAAGCCCGTACTTTGTAAACAAGAAGTTTAACGAATTGGTCTATCGTATCCAGCTAACATCAAGATCAAACCACCAGTAGTTAACATCGAAAGACCCCCTTGAATAATGGAAATGATTCTCCCACATGGTTGAACAAGAATCAAGCAGATGAGTTATCCAGGACGGAATAACGGGAAGAGGGGTACCTACATGTCACTCAGCGCCGTGGTCGTTACCCCTCCGCCAATGGCGTACGACTGACCAACCGGCTAAGTAAAAGTCACCGTCCTATAAATAACTCATTTCTAGCGTCTAAGAAGTAGGTAGTGTGATTTTCCATATGTGAAACTGCAAACATACCTAATAGGAGCATAGGTATATGCGATATATTATTATAAACACGCCAATACCTAAGCAGAACAGATCTCAATTGATAAAATATAAAATCATAAGAATGGAAAATATGAACACATGGTGGGTATTTCGAATACTGTATTAGCATTTAAGAAATCTCCTACGCTCTCAGAACTGCCAATAGAAAAAAATTCCTACAAGATCTGTATAATAATAATAATATTTTAAATTTACTTACCAAATGCAACACTACTGCAGTACAATGCTTGATAAGCCTCAATAGTCATCCTCATTTCATCTCTTACCCTAAGAAGTAATAAACCCCTCTCAGCACAATTGATAGTAACCTGACGAATTATTTCATCAAAACATTGCGTGTACAGTTCTCTTCTTACTGGACAAATTCCAGTTTCCCTTGCCTAGCAAAATGAAATAAAAAACTAGCATAACATCATATTTACGTTTATTGAACAAGAGAATTATTATTTAGGAAATCAGAATTGTTTTTCTTGGGCATTTTCATTTTTTCCGATTGTGAAAACTCCCGAAAAGGGAGTACATGATGGGTACAAATGAAAGGAATATATCCATTCTGCATCTCGTTAGGTTTAGACGGTCAAAGATGATTTTTTCATTAAAAAGATATTATTTAAAATATCTTAAAAAAATTAGAACCGTCTACTAAAATACGTCTTCAATAGGCTTCTGAATTGAAGTTATTTCATATATAGGGACGCCACATTTTCTTTTTCAGAATGAAAAAACTGTTGAGGGATTTATGTTATCATTTATTATTACTTGCCGTAAACAGTAGGTAATGCGAATCCTCTTCAAAATCTGTTAGAACACCTATACATGCATACTTTTTCTTCGGTTATAACTACAAAAACGTAAAAATATTGCATTATTCCTTCATCCATTGACTCTTTCAATTGTACCATATATATTTGAAATCGCCAAAAGTGCATGTTAAATGCTGTAGTATATATATCTTCATGTTAAATAGCGGACAATATATTTGACTACGACAGGGTAGTCAAATAGGTATATTGAATTCCTTCGGGAGGTATATGCAAAGGTGGTACCTAATAAGTGGGGGGAAAGGGGATGAGAAGTCGCTATCGTTAGACATATTTTGACCTATAGCGTTGTTTGTTCTTATAGGAACCTCATGTGACATTTTTAGAAAAGTCTGCGGAAAACAACAGTTTCAAGGGCGTATACAGGAATTTAATCAGACGACTTGCGAACACTTTACAAATAATCGCCAGATGATGACAAATGTGATTTTGTCGAAACGTTACGAAATTCATTCCTATTGGGAATGACAATACACCACACGGAACAAACCCGAAGAATAATTTCAACATATTCCTGTCCGTGAAAACCTTCGAAAAATCCACTGCACTAGCACTGGCATTGCGAAGTCAGGCACTGGCCATAATAAATGCCAAAGGATCGTAGAAGCTCTGGATAGGCTAATACAGGCAATAATACTTGAAGTAAATCTACCAGAGCCAATCATGGACTAGACATCAATAACCGCAGAAGACTTCACAGGAATATGATCTACCCGAAATTCCCAAAGGAATTCGTGGAACAAATTACTCCAATTTGTTCTGCACTCCGCAGACCTTCATCGACGTTGAGATTGCAGCAATTCATGAGAATTGGCAGACGCCTCACAATAATTGCGTTTTATAAACTGGTTTAGATTTCGGGACTGAGAAAAATATTTCAAGAAGAGCGAAAAGAAAACTGAGAAAAGTGACATTCAGTGAAGAGGTAACGTTACAAGAACAAATCAATTAACCCTAGGAGACTGTCTCTATATTGAGTTATTGAACAGAGGAAAGAGGACTCCCCAAAAAATACGCTGTTCCAATTGTGGGATACCGGGACATCTACAAATGCCTTATAGGAAATATTGGAGATACCGTAGTCTTTAAAGAAGAGGAAGAAAATGAAAATCGTAGATCCAGGCGCCATAGACCTTCTTGTCTAAGCCATAGACCAATGACATCGAAAAGATGACGCAGGTTACCAACGCCAGGAAGAAGAGAGGGCCCTTAAAACAACCGTCATATTTGAAAAAATCAATGAGAGCGAAGTTCTACTGAAAAAAATTACTCTCTGTGACTAGAGTCACCAACATCAAAAAAATTCATAGAAGAGAAATGTGTAAACAAAAAGAAATGGACCCGAAAGTATTCGAAATGATGCTGGGAAAATCTGTACAACTTACAACGGAGGAAGAACGAAAAGTAAAAGCATTTGAGTATCAAGATGTATTTGCCAGTTAGGTAGAAATAAGGGAAATAATCTACAACATGCTCAAAGAGTCAGCAAATCCATGGCTATCTCCAGTGGTACAAGTGACGAAGAAGAATGGATCTACCTGATTCTGCGTATGCTATAGGCGATTACCTAGGATTGATGGATTAAAGTGGAAAAATATCTTTCGGGAACCCCCTTAGAAAAAGTCGCAGTAGAGATACTTGGACCTTTCCTTGTGACTGACAACGGCAGTATTGATGGATTATTTTTTTAAAATAGCATGAGATTGTTCCTAATGGAAATGAAGAGGCAAGAACGGTAGCAAGGGTCTTCCTCAACACGTGGTTGCCCGACATGCAGTACTTAGAGAGCTACATTCTCATCAGGGACGAAATTTCGAGTCAAGACTGGACGAAAAAGGAATTCATACAAGAATTAGGAATCAAGAAGGCTTCACTTCACAATCAGACCGAAAATGGTAGAATGGCATAATAAAACAATCCGCCAGTACCTGTACACGTTAGTTTCAGAAACCCAGAAATATTGGGATACACTGGTACCGATATTCCTTCTGGAATATAGGAGCACAGTCCACGAAGCAACAGGCTCTTCTCCATATATGTTGATAACTGGAATCGAAACGAAACTACCGCCAGTTTGACATCAAATGGTGATACCTAGAAAACGAATACCGAGTTCATCGAAAAAACAAGGAAGTGACTAGAAAAAATCCATGGATTCCCGGAACAGGTCTACAGATAGCCAGTAAACGGATGAAGATTCGATTAGACACGAAAGCGACAAATACAGTTAAGAAAATGACGTGTGTTTATTCCAGTCCAAGAGGAAAAATAAAATATGCCCAAAAACACAGAAATCGGTGTTGGTCGGTAGTTCAAGCCCTAGTCTGAACGATCGATTTTCACTTGCTATCGTTCAACCCGTGTTAGGAAGCACACGTTAAAACGTAAGACCTCGTTAATCCTTAGCTCACAAAAATTTCGACTTCTGAGGATTGTAGTTCATAGGGATGCGTCAGCTGGTTAACGGAAAAACATATTTTGAAAAACAGTTTTTAAAACAGTATATATTCTGTGAGAATTCTGCTGATATTTTTGTTGTTGTTACCATATAAATAAAACAAACTAAGAATACTCTACTTGCAGTAATTATTCATTTTATCGCCAATTTTGAAACATCTCTAATATTCAAAAATTAAAGTACTGTAAAATGTGAAAGAATTTTTTCTTGTCACATTTGTCATAAGTATTTATTGCTCAATTTGCAATTTGGAGATTCGTGAAACAACGAAATTGGTGAATTATATGTTAACTCACATTGTGTTGAAGAAATAATGTCTGAACACAGCGTGTGTTCTGTGGTCTTCACTTTTTCAGATATGGAAATGAAAAAATATAATATCCAACATAGTAGCAACTAGCAATATTGCATTCCTCAAAAATATTTTATAATTACAGACCGCATCCATTATTGGCAATTACCAAATTTTCAGATCTATATATCATTTCATTTTCCAGATAGATCTAATTATCCAGTGAACTTGGATTTTCCTGTATGCGTTTTCCAGATTATAAAAATAAATGGTGAATTAGTACATTACTTATTTGGAGGATGTCTTAGACCCACGAGAAATCTGAAGTTATTTGACTCCTAATAATAGAAATAACTGTGTATCTAATACCACGAACCTTTCAGTGGTCAACGATATGTGTCTGAAGCTTCTCATGATTGATTTCACGATTTGTATAAAGTTTGAAATCATCAACGTTGAAGTATTTGCTACTTCGCAAGTGGAACCTTGCGATACTCGACTTGTTACTGGCTTCTCAGATTTTACCAACATTAACTTTGAAAATGCGGCTCATACCTACTTTTCAATTCATATTATTCTTCTATCTTTCTGTGAATTACAAATTTGTATAAATCTCAATTTCACTTCAGATTCTGAAATAGGATAATTATATACTAAGAAACTAACCTGCCTTTGTTGTAGCCTCATATCCAGCTGTTCCTGCAAATTTACAACATCAAGTCTAGTCGCTGGAGTTGTGGATACCTGCTGCCGCCACATCTGTCCATCTTCCTCCCATTCTTTAGGTGGCAAAATGGTATTAAGAATTTCTTCAGTCTCTCTTTTCACATCGGCAGTTAGGGGAGTCTTTTTGGAGGCACTGTCATCCTAAAATTGTTTTTGTTACATGAAGCACGATATGAATTTAAAAATATATTCACTCCGGAAGGTCCAGCTTTTCCATGCTTTGTTACCAATACCGGATTATCATACTTTACTAATGTATTGGGGGATGGTATTATTCTTTCAGCCATTGTAATGAAATGCAAAATGAAACTGTTTATCAATCAAACTTGAAGGAATTGTATCCATGGTAACTGTAATTGGTTCTGAAAATGGCTCTAGTTTAGTATAGTCATTGGAGGTGGAATTGAATTGAATGATGGGAACACAGCAAGGATTCATTTAACGCCTGGATGAACTTGGTGGATCTGAAGAGCTAGCATAAGTAAACGATGTTTTATAAGCAAATTTCTGTACAATATTTCAATTATTCTATTCAATATTTTTCTTCCTTCAAAAAAAGTTATATTATAATTTTTATATAACAATAGATGTGTTCGATTTAAAAAAATCTGTATATAGTCGTGCGAGGAGATGCAGATTTGATAGCATAGAGTCAATGTAGCGATATATATTTAACGAACGCTCGATTCCATTATTTGTCATTAAAAGTTTTTTTACAACATATCTGTAATTTATAATTCTCTAAATTATATAAGAATCTGAAATAATTGTTAAAAATATTCAAGAATGACTAGCGTTGAAGAAGACATTATTATATCAACGATACTGTCACCGAAGATGACACTGATGACGACCAAGAGCCAAATATTAAATATTCCATCAAGTTTATGTTTTGCAAAAGATACATAAAACTCAAGCAAATATTTGAAATACAACACAAAAGTGAGAACTAAAAATTTTGTTTGATTCTGTTTTGATCGAAGCAGGTGTCGAAGTGCCACAGAAAATTTTGATTTTATAACGAGAGTTCAAACTATCGACCAGCTATAATCGAGAGTTCAAATTGCCGATTAGCGGTAATCGACTGTTCAAACTGTCGATTATCTATAATCGGCAATTCAAACTGTCGAGTATTGAAAATCGACAGTTCAGACCGTCAATTATAATAGAGAATCAACAGTTCAAAGGGTAGATAATTTACAAGCGATAGTTTCTCTTACAGAGAAAGCTGACATCTGTCAAATTAACACTACTTTCCCATTCGGAAGGACGGAATCTCGACCAGGCGAGTACACAAAATATAGCCTGAGATCAAACTGGCGAGAAAACACGCGTCTCGTATCCAAGGTGTGATGGATTACAGGGCGGCCAACAGATCTTTCAAGTCCGCATTGCGACGAATATCAAACAGCATTACCTTGATAGGATAACAATGCTAGTGGCCGTTAAAAATCAATAGCGAGACGAGCGAGATGCATCTCGAAGTTCCGTGAGAAAACTTGTCTCTTAATCCAACAGCCTCTCTTAGTACCAGCCCTAGTACAGTTCAAAACTTTCAGCAGAGAGCTTCGTGAGCCATTGGCCTAGCGATGTATGGGCAGGGAGGGGCAGCTGCTCCCCCTTAGAAGAGCCGTCGTTCGCTGGTAAACTGTATAGCTAGGCGCAAATTGAAAGCGTGTGGGGTAACGCATCACAGCGCGATCTTTTGTAACCCACGAAAACCACTACAGTCAATCTGCCGAAAAAAAAAAGTTATAATGTCTGAAAAATGACCCGATCGATGAAACTTGTGAGTCGTTAGAGAATGATGAAAGAAAGCTTACCTATAGCGATGGCCACCTGCTACCTGTGACGGTTTTTGAAAAAACTCAAAAATATTTTGAAATGCATTTTTCTCGAAAACTATGCATTTTACAGAAAAATGTATTCAACAAAAAATGTAGAGGGCATCAATAGAACAAAGCAAGCTGGCGCCCGCACACGAGGTGACGCGACTAGCGTTACACGTGACTCGCGTGGAACAGTGGTTGAGACACAGTTTTTCGTGCCAATTCTTTCGCGTGTGCCAAAGGCTTTGTATGCTCACTAGGAATAGTTTGTTGGGCATGACATCCCTTTGAGTCAATGCCTCATTGGATCATCCCAGGCACTTCTGTAAATTGGTTTCGATCCATTCGGAAGTGATGACTGAAACCACCATCACTCAAAAGAGAGAAGCCAATATTATGATAGCTAATGTACGAGAGTCACAGAAAGCCACCCCACTGCTGCGGAAAGAAGATGATGTCAAAATTGTTAAAGATTTACTACAAAATCACAATGTTAATCTTGACAACATAACAGTATTTATAGTCGGGAAAGTTGTGCCCGACAAAAATAGATTAATTAAATTTAGGAACATTAAAAATAATAGACATAGTATTCCACAAGGTATAAGGCTATTTAGTGATCAAACTAATAAACAAAAGGAATATTACCTAAATGTCAAAAAACAACTACAGGAATTAATAATGAATGGCGATAATTCAAAAACCATTAAATATGTGAATAATGTACCCACTATTAAAAACATAAACTCAAATAGAAGAAACTGGACAAAAATCCTAATATTTTGCTGAAATCAAACATTATATATGGTAATATAGAAAGCTTTACTGCCCACAGAGATAAAGTAATTGAATCAATTTCACCCTACTATAACCATCTATAATGTTGTTCAGTGAAAGCCCCACTACTCTCGATATAGATAATACTGAAGTTGTGCCTCGTGTCCACTTGCAAGTAACTTGCGAAAGTTTCTTCACCAAGTACTTGCCGGCGTGTCTACACTGTAGTCTAATTGTTTTGAAATTAATTGCGGCAAATTACTCTAGCAAGTTCGTTTTCTTGAGTAACGTGTACACACATTTCCAAAAAAATATCGTCTCAGCAAGTGGCTGCTGCTGTTGTAATATATATTCAGTTAAAAAAACAAATAAAGGAAAATGACAAAAAGCGTAGAAAAATTTGGGTCAGAAAATGGATTCAGTGAAGATCTACGTTAGGCATAGACGAGAAGCTGCTCTCTGAATTGAGAACGGAAGATCCTCAGCAGTTACAAATTTTTTTACGTCTGCGGAATATTTTGATTTTTGCTGAATTTGGTGAAAGAAAAAATATATAAAAAAGATACCAAAATGCGAGAAGCCATTCCACCAGCTAATATGCAGCTAATATGAATTTTAAAGAATCAAAAAATTCCCACGTGCTTTTATACAATTCATTTGTCCCTTATCCACTCTTTTTCTTTTGAATTTTTCTTCACTCCTGATTTAGTTGTGTTCTCAAGTTATGTAGCTTGCGCTGAATTTCATGTTCAGATGTGTTGAACAGTTCTGCTAATTTTTGAAATGCGCCTTGTTTTTTTACTCTATTTTTAAAATCTTTGCAACGTATCCATATTTCTGGGTACAGTTAAAAATTTTCAATAAGCAGAAAAGTTTCTTCTCTGTTCCAAACACGTCGTTCCTCCATTTTTGTGAAAAAATCAGAATTTTAATTCAGATTCGAAAAAAATAAATACAAGTTTAAAATAGATCACAAAATCTCACAACTTGCTGCAAATATTTCGAAACAGTCTCGAAATAATAAAGTGCAAAGTAATTTGCTTAGATTAGCCGTGTACACTACAAGCTCTAACAAGTCGGCAAGTACTTGGCCCGAGAGTAAACTTTCAGCAAACTTCCTCTAGCGCTGCTGTTTACACGCATTGCAAGTGACTTGTGAGAGTACTCTAGGCAAATTTAATTGCTAGTGGACACGAGGCTTCAAGCTACCGGGATATAAAACAATTAGGTGTGACTCATCTACGCGGCATTCATACTTATATACTTAAAATCTCATCTTCAATACTCTAATTATAAAAGCTATATTTTGGAAAGTAACTATATTGGTGCTCATTTATAAAAATGAAGTACAATAATGCTAAAATGTTAATTGGTGCACTTTATCTTTCACCCAATGCAAGTCATACAATATTCCTAGATCGTTTTGAAAATATATGTGAAGAGCTTTCCCAAACAAACTTAAAATTTATTCTAGCTGGAGATTTTAATATTTACTTTATAAAAAATGAGTCAATCAACACGTCTATAAAAAGTACTAAACATGTAGGTATGGTATTATGGTATAATATTATGATATGGTATGTAGGTATAGTATTATCTTCCGTACAATTAGTGAGATATACTTTTCAATGAACCTACTTATCATACCTGTAGTATGATAAGTACAACGAATATCATTATTTATTTTTACTCACCTTGCCAAAGACAAAAAATGTTGTTTTTCTCTGAAATCTGAAGTTTATTTTTATTGAAATTTTTAGTTATTTATACTTTCTTCTTTTATTTATGTTAAAATTAAAGATTTAACAAATCTGACGTTTTTAGTTCACAGTTTCCTAATAATTCAAGTCATTGTGAAAGGTGAGTTGGTGAAAAGGCCAGTATGCATTTTTTCTTGTTGAAATGGGGGTATGGTGATAATATTTTTCTCCGCAATTACCCCCCCCCTGTATAAACGAAAGCTGTATACGCGCCTGTCTGGCACTGCCGTGTTATAAAGCGCAGGCCGCATTTCTACTTCAATTATTAATTTTTCTGTGTCAATCATTCTTCTTCTGTACTATTGCTGACTGTAAATCAGACAAAACACAAATGATACAGGGCAACGGCGACTAAAATGAGTCTCGTCTGCCCAGATATAATGAATTGCGTAGGTTTTATAGTGGGCGACAGTCGCCCAGCGTCTTATCAGACGCCGGGAAATGGAACATGTCGCATCAGTTGCGACTGTCGCTCACAGTCGCCTCTAGTTGCTACAAAATAGTCGCTCGTGAGCACAGTTGCATTAGAAATAATGTAATCTATTTCTGGCGTCACAACTGTTACTCGACAATAAACGTCCGTCTGCAGGTGCCCTAATAGCGTCGTCACTATAGCAGTTAGGAGAGAGCGTGGCAGATGAGCAATGTTATGAAACAGGGACGTGTTTTTCGAAAAATAAAAAATGTCTTTTGATGAAGCAGAAAGGAGTTTTTCACTACAGTTTTGTTAAGGATTTGATCAGGTTGCATATTGTACTGAGCTACCATCAAAATCCAATTTTTATGATCAATTGAATGAGACACATATGGGATGCCATGCTCAAATAAATCGGTGTAGAGGTGAAATTGCTCACGGATATTGACATAATAACTTTTTTCCAAATGGGTATACGTGGAGGTAATGCCATTAATCGTTTTCTATCGGATTATGATGAAAATTAAACATAATCATTCATCAGTTATTTTGACGCTACCAACCTCTATGGTCACAGTATGTTCCAACCATTACCGATAGGTGGGTTTTCATGGTTATCCGAAATTCTCCAACTGGATATCATGGGCGTTCCAGATGATGGTCCTAAGGGTTGTCTTGAAATTAGATGTCCAATACCCTGAAGAACTTCACGGTGTGCATTCAGATCTGCCATATCTCATAGAAAGTATCATTCCACCCAGTTCCAATTCAAAAATACCCAAATTAATACCATACCTGAATGATAGAAGAAAATACATTGTTCATTACAGGGCTTTGAGGCAAGCACTTAAAAATGGATTGATGGTGATGAGGATTCACAGAATTCTCTCATTCAATCAATCACTGTCAAATGAAAAGTTAAAAGGGGGTGGGGGGATACCTTCGTTGCTCATCCTCGATACAACCTAACTAATTTTAATAACTCACACCAATGTTTTGTGCTATTTGTGATTAACCCCTCAGTACACAAAAGAATTAAAGCAATAATGGGGACACATAAATGAATAATAAAAGAACAAAAAACGAACGCAGGGTTGCATAACGCAAGAAGACTTGCGTCCCCGAACGAAGCTTCTGTTCCATGTGGTGGAATGCGCCTGAGAAGGAAGCAATGGCCATATAGGAATAGAGAGAGATGGAGAAAGAGATGTCACCTGTTTACTGTTTGATGTTTACACTTAGATCTTAGATCATGTAAATGATCATGTTGAAAGTTACTATTTGTAGAATACACTAGTACTCTCATCAATAGATTTTTTTTCTCAATTAGGAATAGTATTTATAATACAAATATCAAACAATATTTAATATTTCGTCTTTTACAACTGAAATGTGAGATATTTCACCAGATACTCCATAAATTATTAAACAAAATATGCAGTCAAATATCTGTTCACAGTGTAATGAAACAGCAACTGGTCCTTCTAATAGGATAGTTAAAGATTCCTGTGGCCACAAGAAATGTAGAGTTTGTTTGTTGGAAGATGAAGTTCAGTGTAAACTGTGTGTGAAAGATAAACTTTCAAATGGAGACAGTAAACCCTCCGATCAAACTGAAGAAATTGGCGTTGATTTAAATGGAAAAAATCAGGAGGAAGTTCTTGTGAATAATCACACTGCAGTTATACAGCTTAATGGAAATGCATATTCAAATGCTAATCAGAATGGTCTCAATACTGTACCACGTAAATTATATGATTGCATAGAAAACGTCTTGGAAACTTCTGCACAAAACAAGAATAGTTTGCCAACACAAATAGAGAATCCTGAAAAAGATAAAAAGAGGCCTTATAATTTGATTAATGTTCCTGAACATATAACGATTACATCAGATCCTTTGTCTTACCATTGTGATATATGTGACAAGAGTTTTATCACAAAGACTCATATCAAATATCATTCCTATTGTGTGGGAGGTAAATATTATGGAAGTGAGGTTTGAATGTAAATTTTCATCAAATTTCAGATATCAGGTATTCTGAGCAGTCATACTTTTCAATAAGTCATCCAAATTTCTATATATTTTTTTAGTTTCATATATTTTTGATCTTGTTACTCTTTGTACTATTTTGTCCTCATGCGGAAATCAAAGTAACATTTTCATCAGACTGATGGAAATGTAACTTTGCACTATTACTAACTCAGAAATGGAAACACCTGAAAGCTGTTACCATTGATAAAAGTTGCCTATTTACGGGAAAAATGAAAATATTTTTTCAGATCGCAAATAAAAAATTCAGGTTTTGTTTATTGCCTCTTCCGTCTCCATTTGGCTCTACCGTCCCTATTTCAAATAATATGAAACTATGGCAAATTAACTTTTTATGTAACCTCATGCTAGATATGGTATGACCAATTTTCAATGCTGCGTTTCATTCATTGAATTCCGACAATTTTTTTTATATGGTCATATATTTTCTTTCATCAGTTCTGGTAATGATAATAATTTTTATTCCTTGTTGAAGCGTAAAAATTTTGATTTACGATATTTCTGTATGTAGGTACAATGTCATGAAAATCATCTAGGGGTTGAAACAGTTATAAGATGATATTGTTAAAAAATATCACTAATAATTTGAATATGAATTGTATCATCTAGCTTATAAACATGTTAGGTCTAAGATAACGACATTTTTTGGAGTTATTCTTTGAATATTGGGCATTAGTTTATCTCTAAAACGAGTTGGATAATGATGTTGCTGGGAAGGTGTATTAAGCTTGTTTTAATTTATGTATATACATAATTCATAAATATAGAATGCATTTCTACATGTATGTCCATTAAATGCTCATTAAATTCATAAAGTGATGATTCTGTGCAGTGAAAAAAAAATTTTTTTTATATTCTGCTCAAAAAGCTTGGAAATACTTGAAAGCAAGCTGATTCTTCGGTATTTTTCATAGAGGTCTCTATCCATTTTTTATAAATTGATGTTACCTTTGCCAGTTTAAGACTATCCGGACAAATTCCAGTTTCAGTAGCCAAGTTCATGTTGTACGTTATAAGACTGCAGAGTACATAAGAACATTTTTTTCAATGAATTGTTTGATATCTCATCATGACCATTTGCGTTTGAATGTTTTAAGCTCATTACTAGTTTAAAAATTTCAGATTCCAATAATGAACGCGACTAAATAGATTTTTGCAAACCGAAACATTGCTTTTAATGTGGTTGAAATAGACATATTTTGGCTGTATGGACTAAGTCTTCTGTCGAACCCATAGATGGAGTATTTGCAGGGGGACATGTCATCACCATTTCTTTCAGGCTCATCCCTTTCAGGACAGTTGATTAGTTCAGCCTAGCACTGCTGATGAGATGTTGATGGATGGAAACAGCACTGTTTGAAGTTTGATCAAAAGTCCATCAAGGGTGTTGAAGGTGGCAGCCAGGTGGCCAGGCAGCCTTTCTAATCTTTCTTCTTTAAATCCACTAGTCCACTCGAAGTTAAAAATTGAAGGATTGAATATGATAAAATTGAGTTTGGAACTTATTTTAGATTTCAGAAATGGCGAAATGGCTGCGCAAAATTGTCATGAGTGCAGGTAACAAGGTTTTGGATCTCTAGGGAAGTATCATAAATAAATATGATTTTATTTTACCCAAAAAAAAAATAATAATGAAACGATGTCAGATAAGGAATTTTACAAACCATGCAAGTCAACCTATCCATCGATAGAAATCAAAAGTGAAAACTATCGAGGAGAGATACAAACGTATAAGGAAATAAATATTTTTACATAAATTTTGAAATATCCATCTTTCCCAACTATCTACATAGTAGGGTGTGGTAAACGTCTGTCGAAAAACAAGTACTTCCCCGGCACCAACACTACGCTGGATATTGAATTATATTCGACAGACATTTATACAAGATTCCTCACAGAGGCTAGTCTCGCAGATGTTTTTCGTTCATCCAGCAGCAGGACCATGCTGAAATTATTAAAGTGGATCACCTGTAGACCGCAATTTTCGATGTATTACCTCTCATCAGTACAGGAAAGATCCTACCCAAACAGCAAAGTGTCTGGGACTCATGTCAGTACATTATTAATACTACATGTGCCAATGTAAAAAGTCCCCCCATTCTTAACCTTTCACAGGATAAGATGTCAAGCTCGAACAAATTTATATAAAGTAGCATCATTTTTAGTTCTTGTTAATAAAAGAAACAATAGTTTGGCATCACTTGTCATTGAGAGGGTGCTGTCAACTTTTCGCAAACAGATGTGGGGGCTTCTGATGCCTTGTTTGATAGATCTTTCAATTCTCTATCCAATTCTAAGTTTGAATAATTGTCATTCAGTCACTCTAAAACCAGCCTGTAATAATGAGGAGACGCCTCATTTTACTGAAATATAAGATTAGTTGAAAGCCCATTTGGTATTGCCTGAACTATTTCATCAATCATTTCAGATGAAGAGATCCGTTTAAATTTTGTTTCAAAAATATCGGTCCTACAATATAATTAGGCAATACATCTGACCGTATGTTGAAATATTCACAGTTACTATCCTATTTATTCCATGAGTAAGTGGACCAATAATATAAATTATAAAATTACCCTAGAATTGAGCTCAGAATTTGGCATTGAGAGGTTTTTTCCTTTGTCTTTCATTGCTGTGGCAACAGTATCACCGACTATGTGGATGCCCTGATCTGAAATACACCTTTCCAAGGTTTGAGAAGAATTTTTTCAAATAAAAGACTAGTTATGAAATTACCTGAAATGTTTGACCATTAATTTATAAATAGTTATCTTGGAATACACAAATGTAGGTAACTTGGAAATTCTTATATTTATGAATGTGTCTTATCCTTGTCATGCTTATGATCGCATGTTGAAGATTTGACCCTCACATTTTGTTAAATTGCAGAGGGATCTCTGAGAGCTGCTTGTAGGGAAACAGTTAATTGGCACTTACAACAATTCAAATGATTGTCAATATTTTAGAAGTTCTGAATATCAAGTTTTTTTATCATTTAACATTTTCAGAGACATTTTCAGAAACATCCTGAACATCGAAATGCATCATATTCACAACATCAGGTTACAATTTGTGTTGAATTATTCAATGATTCTTAATATTTTTTCATATTAGAATTTCTCATTGACTTTCTTTGTTTGATCATGGAATTTATTAGAATTGAAAAAACCAGATGTTTGTCTTTTGTTTAATCAAATTTTTTCATTTATAGGTTCAAAACCATTTAAATGTGAGGTCTGCAACAAGGAGTTTATTCTACGTGCACAACTGGATGTTCATTCTTACAAACACAAATCCAGTAAGCCATTTTCATGTTCGGTGTGTAAAAAGTCTTTTAGTGTTCAGAGTAAGCTAACACGTCATTCTTCTGTGCATTCTGTAGTTAAAAGCCACATTTGTTCAGTATGTGGTAATGCATATCGTAGCAAAGAATCACTGAAGATACATTCTATAATCCATAAAGGAGATAAACCATTTGGGTGCAAATTTTGCAGTTCAAAATTCAGTAACCAATCGAATTTGGCCAAGCATATGACAGTTCATTCAAGTAAGTTGATTTTTTATTTTCTTTTCTATATTTACATTCCATACTTACAATTTGACATACTTATTTTTCATCATTCAGAGGAGAAAGCTCATATGTGTGATCAATGTGGCAAACGCTTCAAATTGAAATGGGCTCTTACTGTACACCGTAGATCTCATATTAGAACCAGACCACATAAATGTGAGATTTGTTTCAAAACATTTGTCAACAACAAGGATCTTCAAAGACATAGATATGTCCATAATGGTAAGTTTTTCGTCAATGTATTTTGATTGCTTAATTTGGTCAACTATAGTATATTTGCGATTTGGTTTGGAATTTAATTGATTTATTTTGAAAAGTTGTGAGTATTGAAGTTATTCGGTACTTTGTTGAATGTACTGTACCCTAAAAAAAAAGAAACTAATGGTCTGAATGGAATGCACACTTGAAAATATTACTCAGTAATAAATAATATTTAAAGATGAACTAAGATATTCAATGAATTCGAACAACCTCCAATGAGAGGATTGTGTGATCAAATATGGATGACACGGCACCAGGATCATATGTAACAGGGGAACTAATTGCAAATATTGTGAATGAATAAGGTTTATTCATCAGTTTTTATTACAAAGTTTGTGGTGTGCTTGTTTGTGAAGCCCTATTATAGGCTTATGCCTCTTCAAGGAGTAAATATGTGAAAAATTATGAAATGTTGAAGTAGGGGAGTGCCGTACGAATTATCAACTTCGAAATTATATGAAAAATTACTGTCTCTATATGTAACAATAGTTTTTCATATTGTTACATATAGATTACTCCATGCTTTATCCGAACCAAGTGAAATAATTGAAATTTGAGAGGCAGTAATTTTTCATGTAATTTCAAGGTTGGCAATTCATACGGTACTCCCCTTTTTTCAAACAACTTTTAAGCTAAACCTTTCAGTAGTAGTGGTTGGTCTATCAGTTTGGGTCGGGAGTGTATTTGTGATTTTATAAAAACTTGAGGAGGTAGTAATGGGTCGTGTTTTTCTTTGATACATTCAACTAAGTAATAAAAATCTACGAAAAACTTTCAACATCTAGTAGTATTCACTTCACAGTTCAGTGAATAATAATTACTTGGTTCTTTACTGATATCAAGAATTAGAAGGGAATGATTATTGACAAATTAAACTACACAGCATCAAAGTTTTGAGATTCTAATGTTTGGGAATAGAGTTGTAATCAGGATACAGAAATCTCATTGTTGTTTTTGGATAGTGTCATAATATCATCTTTATTCGTATAAATCTTAATTATTATCATATTAAAATTGTTGAATGAAACACTCTACTTCATAGTATTGAACAATTTCGAAAAATGTAGTCACTTGAATACAACAAATTATTTACAGCAATACAATAAAAGAATATTCTATTGGAAATTACACTTTTTATGTCTTCACTGGATAATTTGTACATACATGATTGAAAGATAAATATTTGAAAAATATTGAAAAGAAAATATTGTGTTTTTCAGGAAGTGTTCATATTCTCCACAACCTGAATTGCTTCATAACTTTGAGAAACTGCAAATGCTCATAATTTTTCAAGGCTTCATTAAGATGGCGGATCTGAAAATAGATCCATAATGTTTGATGTAACAACTCGTTTGTTTTTGTTTTTTTTTTTCTTTAGAATATTCACTAGTAATTCTTACATTGATATAATTTCATCAAAGCTGAATTCACCAACTATTTGTATAGGGAAAGAATTAGTGTTGAAACTTTCTGTAACTATTTTTTTTGTTATATAGATACCAAACCCTTTATGTGCAGTATATGTTCAATTAGCTTCCGTCGTCAGGATAACTTACGTCGTCACATGAAGAATACTCATCCAGGTAAGAAGGGCGAAGTCATTAAGAATGTCGTAATACTTCCTTCAGAAAATGCCTGTACCTCAACTATCACAAAAAAAACACCTATAGACAATCCGAATGCCATAAAAGTTATAACGACTGCTTCGCCGGCATTTACTTCTAGTAAAGCCGAGGGGCAGACAGTTACTCCTCCTCCCTTTGTTAAATCTGATTGCAGGGCTGGCGAAGAGACAAGCGTCATCAACCGACCCATCAAACTTGCATCTAAAACGCCAGCTTTCAAGAGCAACTACAATATTAGCAGGTATGTATTGTTATGGAATTAGAAAAAAATTTTGACATTTTTTATTAAATGACTACCATGTTTGAAAAAATGAAACTTGAAAAATTCGAAAAACTATTAGTTGCAACCTATGACATTGCAGAATCGGTAGACATATACCATAAAATACTCACTAAGACCTCTAGTAGTTCCATCTCACAAAGGAGCATCATCTGTAAAACGGAGCCAACTTCCCAAGAAATCTGTCAAAAAATCCTAGATCCAAATTCAACCCGACCACTGCATTATGAAACGTCATTCCAAAATAAGAAACATGCTATGATTAAAAATATCAAGTTCAAAGTGCCCATTCAGTATACAAGTAATTTCAGGGAAAATATGAAAGAAAAAAATGATGAGTCTAAAACTTATAGTTATGATGAGCTCAAACCTGTAGCAGTGACAAGTGTAATAGTTAATAATAATAATGTCCTAAATAATAGTCGGGGTGATGATTTAGGTCAGTCGAGTAATATGCACTGGCGAAGAAGAACTTCACAAAACCTTGGTTTGAAAAATTGAAGACTGTCCTTTTAAAGACTGTATTGTGATTATATTTATTTATAGTTAGGAAAATAAACTGTTTGTATCTTGAATAAAGTGTTCTCAACTGAAAGGTAATAACAATTAATTGTTTTAAAAGAACTAACTTTATAAATCTGTTGAAATTCTCAACTAACCATTATGGATTCTTTGAACTTATTAGTGTGATGAGTGCCACTACTATAGTACATTTTATACCGACTGGTCATCACAAACCCTTTAAACAATCATTCTTAACGAGATCAAGAAACATTTTATACTGACTAGTCATCCCAAACCTATCAAACAATCATTCTTAACGAGATCAAGCAAATTCATCAACTGAATTCCATCAACAAGGACCTAATAAAAATTGTAGAATGTAGATCAATTAATTTTGTGTAAATCAATTCTAATTTAAAAGCTGAGTTGTCTACTAGAAAAACTGAAAAATGTAAGCACGCTGCTCTCTAATATTTCTCATAAAATTATTCTTGCAGCTTATAATGTACATAAATGATAAAATCATTCATTACTTCAAGGAGTACTTTACAACTTTGGAATATGTCGGTTGATGAGCCATTATTCTGTATTCTAGGAGGCAGTATGATATTTCTTGACTTTCTTTTCCGTGTATAGCAGTTTCTGATGAGAAAAAAGTTGATTTTTTAATACTTTTCGAACACAAAAAATCATTTCTTGTTTGGCCAGTCAATTTATTAACTTCTTGCTAGATAAGTTATTTACGATGTCATACAAAGTTTCAGAAGAACTCAAACTTTCATCTTTTGTCCCACCTCATTTTTACCTATTCAGTGNCTCAAACTTTCATCTTTTGTCCCACCTCATTTTTACCTGTTCAGTGTCTAACATTCAGGCTGTGACCTTTCACCTCTCACACTAACCAATGTATAAAACATCTCCAAAACCTTCAAATGAACGTGACATACTAGTACAAACTTCCAAATTTGGTGTTCGTGTCCTCCATGGTCGAGTTTTCAGTTTCCTCATATTTATCATTGAGAAATTAATTTCTTTGGATATACAATTGCAAAAACTCTTTCATTTCATCGGGAGAACAGAATGAGATGCTAAGAGATGAAGCACTAATTTCATATGCTTATTTTTCTTGAATAGAGGTTCATTGATACAACTTGAAATTGTTTTTTCACCTACTGGGTGACTCTTCAGTCATGCAAACAGAAATTAATATTTTTTTAATGAAGTATCTAATATATACAACATCTTTCGATTCCATATATCTTCAACTGTCAAAGAATAATTTAGAAATCCCTATTTTGTATACTCTCAGAAACATGTCACTAATTGTCCATCTATGGGTAATTAGTGACATGCTATAAGAGATGTGTTGGAAGACAATACAAATGAATGAATGAAACCAGCACGTTTCTCAGCCATATCTTAAATTAGACTCTTCAATAAATGTTTATTCAAAAGTTAGGCTANAATGAATCTTTGTTAGTTTATTGTGTAAGTTTGAAAATGTCCTTATAGGACGAAACTGCAGTAACATTAGTTACAAATAAAAGTGGTAAAAACAGAAAATTTCAATTCTCTTTTCTTCATTATTATTTACTACTACGTAGTAACGGATACATCCATCAATTTATTAAATAAATATGAGTTCGTAAGGGTATCAAGGGTCAAAGTATCATCAAAATACTCCTGAACTTTATAATAGACCCCATCAACTAGGAGCATTTTGTCTGCTTTTCTGAATTTATTGTACACCATGGTTTCTTCAATTTGGGCTGATAGGTGACTGAGAGACTACAGCAGTATAGATGTATATATGCATATGTATTTTTTCTAAGATTTCGTTATCAAAACAGTTCTTAGGTAAGGTGCAGCGAATAGTAAGAATACTGGTTTTATTGATATTGAAGGGTAACTTATTAGTCATAGCATTCTTTAATTTTTCTGATGTCTTCAGAGAAAGTCTAATGCAGAACGGGATTATCCTTATTTGCTATAATGAGGTGGTGTAATCAGTAAAGAGGATGATCTATTATATCTAAGTCATTTATAAAGAGAAGAAATGAAATTGGGCCACCGATCGAGCCTTGAGGCACATTTGATGAACTGATCAGAAGAACATTCAGTTAGTCATTATTTGTTTACGGCCTAATAAATATGACTGGAACCACTGAAGGGTGATACAGCCGTACTATGTCATTTATTGAGAAGTATCTCGTGGTTGACATAGTCCAATGCCTTCGATAGAAGGTCGCAGCAAGTGATTATTTAGCATTGAATTGGGAATATACCATTTCTAGTAGAGAGAACATTGCATCGTTAGTACCCTTTTTTTGAAATCATAATTGGTGATAAGTAAAAATGTTATTGTCATTACAAAAGGATAAAATTCTTTTGCAAGTGCAGAAATAAGTGCTTTAGTCCTGTAGTTGGAAAGATCATCGGTAGGTCACCCTTGTAAAGAGGGATTATGAGTCTTTATAGGAAAGACGAGAACTCACCAGATAAAAAAAAACTGTTTTTTCGTTAACCAGCTGTCGCACCCCTACGAACGACCACCTTCAGAAGTCGAAACTTGTGCGAGCTAAGGATTAACGAGGTCTTACCTTTTAACGTGTGATTCCTAAGAGTAATTGATACAATGTGACAAAACAACCAAAGTTGAATAAGGTGGAGTTTGAAATATTTTAATAGAAATATAATCTACACCCGTCCAATTCTTAATTTTTAATGTAGAAGAATATATTTATTGAAATAGGTGATCCTATTCCTTCCTTGAACTCTGACTTTTTGCTTTCTATGGAATAAATAGTCAGATAACCATTGGTAAACATCACCATCAATGACATAACCTCTTAATTTTATTAGAAGAATATTACGATCAATTGTTTCAAACGCCCTCTTCAGATCAACTACTACACAGCTACTACAAATTTATTGTTATCAACTTCTTTTTTGAATTTAGATAAAGTGACTTGTAATGCAGATTCACATGAATACTTTTCACGAAATCCAAATTGACTATTTATTAAAATTTCATTTTTTTCAACATGATCAAGTACCTGCTTATAAACAGCTAGTTCAATAATTTTTTTCTATTGGTGGTAATGTATTTATGTCCTCGATAACTACTATCAAATAATCGGAGTTTGTTTAATAAAAGAAGAAACTATCAGATATGTCAACATTGCAAAGAAATCGTAAAGGATTTTAAAGATGATAATATATTTCTAGTAAGTTTGTCCGCTACAAAGTAATAAAAATTATTAAACGAGTCGGGGGTCTCAGCAAACCTTAACTGAATGTGTATTTGCCTTACCTCTGAGATCAATAATAGACCAGCTTTCTTTTGATTTATTTTCTGTCTTATCCATGTAGTAGATCTGCTTAGCATCATAGTGACATACTTTCTGTATGTTATTACTACGAAAAGCTACTGTGATAGCGAAACATGTTGTGGTATGTGTGATATATTTTTAAAAATAAAGTTTGTGAAGATCAAATCGTAAGGTGTAGTTTATGAAAGTAATGATCTTAGGCAGAGATTTCCATACCTTTTTTCAACCAAAATCATTGGGTATCCTGGCACGTGAAAGGACTCACCTGTTTTGAGCCAGTGCGGATCTTGTTGTGGATTGACTGGATATTTAACAGTAGGAGCGTCAATTGCTGGGTTGAATAAGGGTTTTTAAAATTGGATATTATGTTGTTATTGACCTGACGAATGTAGTTTCCATAAAATTTTGATCATTTCCTTCTAGACATGACAATTTCTTATATAATGAGAGATTTTTATTTTCTCTCCTGCTGACTACTTTAGTTTTTCTCATAACTGCTGTTGTGCTAGATCCATCACCTTCATTTGGACTTCTTTTAGCAGCATTTTATGTCTTGAAAAGAAATTAGATTTCCGCAAAATTTATTGAAGTCAAGAATGTGCCTAACTGATCTCAATGAAAAGCTTTGAATACTGCTAAATCATTATTGTAAACACGTTCATTCCATCCATTCTCTATGCAAGATCGATGAGGTTCAGTGATTATTGAAGAATTAGTAGTATTTACTTTGTCTAGAAAAACTTACTGGACCATAGTATTACAGCGTCACTTTTATCGAAATTTGAAGAGTTTTCAATTGTTGTATTGATTAAAAATGCATTATTTGCTCCAGGCATAATTAGTGCTGGAGTAAGATAACTATCATCAGTTTGTCTTTTCATGACTCCCGCTTAATTTCTTCCGTGGTGTTCTACTACTATTAAAATATTTATCTTGCACCTCTCTTTAATTTGATTGTGGACAACTGGCTGTTCTTTTTAATATAACCTGCTCATTAGACATTTAGATGTTAGAAGACCGATTTCAATTTCCGTTTGATTTGAAATTTCCAGCCTCAGTATATCATTTAACTCGCGTCAATGGGAATTTTTTTCTTCATACACTCTCTAGAGCACAATATTTTCAAACCATCAACTGCAAGGTGTTTTTTTTTGTCAAAACTGGTATGGAACATACCGAAACATACAATATATACATTTTGTCATTTTTTACAGCATTTGAAAGTTGAC